CGTGAGAAGCTCTTTGCATACACCCATTCTATTGCTAGTTGATTGGCCATGATGTCGGCTCAAGGGGAGATATTTATTCCCTTCACATCCCTTCACAACCTGGTCCCAGTTCTGTTGTTCCGTTGCTCAGGTCTTCAACTTGAAGATTCCAACCATCCGCAAGTACTGTCTTTTTGAAGGACGCGGTGACGCGGTGTCAACGGTGTGGCGTTGGTTCGTTGCCCCCTGGTTGGGAAAGATACCATACTACTGGCAGATGAATTCACTGACTGAAGCTAACCCCCTGATCCCCCTGGCCCTTATTAATCCTGGCTTCAAACACGTTCCGCGTCTTCTGCGCTGCATTGGGGTGGGGAGAACCCCCTTGGAGCTGTGGAAGCCCCGGGCCCCACAAGTCGAAGTCCAGGATCTTTGGATCTCTCTGCAGCCATATCCAAAAAAGGATCCGGCTGGTGCTGGTATATTGATGCCGACCATGGACTGGGGTATATTGATGGGATCCATGGCACACCATTTTTCTAGCAGCACCGTTAGGATCCGTCATGGGTATAGCAGTAATGTTTGGCATCAATTGAGATTGGGGATAGGAAACATATGCAATTACCTGGGATGCGAAAAAGGGCATATCATTTCAAATGATCATATTGATTCAACAATTTTCCCATTCCATTCATGCAATTGATACAAGGTGGTGCCCCAGTTCGTTAGCCAAGTTGGTGCAAATAACTCCAATAACTTTGGTTTAAGGTAGATATATCTTTACCTACTATGGTTTATAAACCAACTTATAAGTGGGGGGGTACCACCTTGTATCATTGCGACACCAACGAATTGCATAGTTTGGTTCGCAGGATGAACTCTGAACATCCCAACATCGAATTGGCCGTGGCAAATTGCAGGCATTTGGTGGCACCGGTGCATAAACCTTTAATCATCTCATGACCCACTGTTTTAATCAGTCGAGGAACCTTGAACTTCCCAACGTTGCCAATTTGATGACGTGTTTTATGACTATCCTCTGATAATTTTAGCCACGGAACAATACCCATTGGCTGAGGATTTTCCCCAATGGCTATGTTAGATTGCCCGGGGGGTACATCCCAATTTGCGGTGACATCCCCATTATATCCAACTACTATATCCAACTGTTGTACCATTGTTATCATACCAACTACTGCCTATAACCTGGGTTTGTTTAAGGTGATTTTTTATTTTCCCAATGGACAATCCACCATGACTGGGGAATCTGTAGTGAATATTTTTTTTATTTTTTGGTGACCCCTTAAGCAAATCCAAGATAACCAATAACTATTCCCATCCCAATTTTTCTGGCAGAAAATCGCCACCCAGATCCGGATGATCTGATGAAACCAAGCCAGGACGCTTCAACCTTCTACGAGCTGGAATTCGCTATGCTGCGGAGCGCTAGGGGCTCCGACTAATGTCAGATGGGATATTCATTGGAACTAATAGGATATTTTGATATATTTTAAAGGGGTATACTGCCCACAACATGATTCTTCAGATTCTTTGAGTACGTTTCAAACATGAGGTATACAATGGTATACAGACCATGTTGATTGTGAGCATGAGATTAACAATACATTCTGACCTTAGCACCACCAGAATGTCATCTTTGAATCTCCAGTACCCTAAGATCCCAGAAGAATCGAATACACCAGGGCTGTCAATCATCCACTTTTCAGCCATGATATAAAAAGCTGCTTCTTGCAGTCAATGATGGTGTCCACGAAGTTTCACCCAAATGCTGACGGAGATGTTGCCACAAGTACCTCTGGGCATGTGGGACGGAGGCGACGGCTGCTCCATGATCAGTGTCCCTATACTCCGTGCACTTCTTTGAGCTGGAAAGGATTGATGACGGTATTGTACGCGGAGCAGCTGTGGCATTGATGGGCGGAACATTTGATCCTTAAGTGCGTGAAGCAATGAAGGCTGTCTAGCCGTATGCTAAGGTACCTGATCCTTCGTATGGAGCCAGTTTTCTGGAGAGCGACCTTGAGGCGATTTTGCGACATGCGCCATGGCGTGGTTGCAAAGCATTACAGGTCGGGAAGTGGGCAACAACCTGACAACTCACGTTCTTTCCGATCATGATGTCATCCAGTTTTGAACGGAATATCGTTGTCCTATCACACAAATATATGTTTGTGTGTGTCACACCTCTTTAAATTGCAAGTATATTTATCCCATATGTATATTTATTTTCTTGGTAATCTCAATTATATCCCACTGATCCTATTGATCCATATATCAGTACATCAATGGGATGGATATATGTTTTATAACTATCCATTTCATGTGTACCCCTTTTATTCCTAATTAGTATCGCACACACACACACACACATATGTACACACGGTGGGATTTAAATAATACTCTACAGCTATTATCAATGGATACTTAATATAGCTGTCTTGATCAAAACATTGCAATATACATCGTATTTTCCCATAGATGTCAAAAAATAACTATATATCCATTGGCATTTCATTGTTTTGACCAAACATTCATATGTAATAATTAGCAACCGTACATTTTTATGTGTTTAATATGATCGATCTTTTGAACTCTAGTGATTGAAATTTAGGAAGAGCATATCCACTGAAATTATGTATGAGACATATGATTATTTATAAATGTATACCGTTAAATAAACTAAACAGCTACAAACTGAATATGATAGATCTATTGAACAGGAGTGAATTATATATTAGTACCCCTGAGATTTAATTATACACTATGCACACTATGAATAGATCCATTAACTCTATATAAACACGATATATCTATACACATCTAATAGGTGATAACTAATATGGTAATATTCACTATATAGATGTTCACTACAGAATAACTATACATACATGATAACTATAGATATATTTTTTCATAGTGATATAACTAATGATATACATATGAAATACGGATATCATATATAAGTTATAGGATAATATCATACACAATATCATAAATCAATAACCATTGTAAGTTATATACCATAACTATAGGTATCGATCTATTCACATATATGTATACTATGATGACTACAAAAGATAGCTATGTCCATAGTTATATCCGTATCTATATGCCTTTTCATATATCTCTATTGACTGTCTGTTAACTTTAATATTTATCTATAACTTTAAATGTCATCGAAGATATCTGGTTATCTGGTATGAAATATACCATAGTCATTCAATATTTATTCAATAAAACCATTGAATACTCTATTTAGATTCCAGATATTGAATAACTATATAACCATGGTCTGTTCAATATATACCATTGAAATATACCATAGTCTATTCATTGGAATATCAATGGTGACTATCAATAATGTTGTCTAGCCAATAGTGATATCTTGTCAATAGTAGAAACATTTTTCCGCAACTCCAATTGTTCTCCAATACTAAAAGTCAATTAGCTCCATTTACTTTTAGTATTGCCAAAAGAGTTCTGTTCAGACCTTGTCCAGAGGGCATGGTATAGTATCCAATATTACAATTTAATTAGACTAATTTAATTTACTATTGGAATGCTGACCCCCCCCCTGATTTTTTTAAAAAAACAAAAATATTTAGGGAGGGGGGGTTTTACTATTAGGCAGCATACATTATAGAACATAGCCTATACCATTGAAATATACCATAGTCTATCATTGAAATAACTCTCTGGTCCATATCAGATCTCTCCAGGAGGCCCAAGGCGGCCGTGGCCTTTGCGTTTTGAGCTCCGCCACGGCCACACAGCTGCGACGAAACCATCGGCTCCTGCAGGCGATGACGACGGTGGATGTTCCTAGGGAAAATGGTGGATTTTCCTGGGAAAAATGATCGATTAAGCTGCCGAAATCTAGGAATCAAGGTCTATCACTTTAGTGCATCACTGCAATGCATTAAACAAGTGTCATGATAACTATAACTATAGCCTGAAACTATGCACAATGTAGATAAGAATATCAACATAGATATAGATTCTATAGATTCTAGGGATATCAAATTATATAATTCTATACATATACAGCACATCTGCTTAGTGATTTAGACTTGTCCATGAACACCGTTCTTGTCCGCCCAGTCTCGGCGCTTGAATGCTTTGGGCCATCCGTCGAGACTCAAAGCTGCCCGGCTGAGTTTTTCCCGGGAGCTGGCGAAGTGAGAGGCTGAGGTGATGGCTCATATATATATATATCTAACGAGGCTGTATGGTATATAATTATGTGATACATCTGTCAGGTATCTATAGTATATTAATGTATATCATAGATTATTGTAGTATATTATTCATGGGGTGAAACTAAAGCAAAAAGAACTGGAAATGGGTATACTTTAATGCAATTTCTCTGAACGCCTTTGCTCAATTGGACAATCAAAATACAGAATATTCCCATATATAGATGTTCCAAATGATTAATATTGATCAACCAGAAAAATGGTCGAAATCGACAGATATTGACCTAACCAGCTGCTGGGGGATGTATTTGTTTCTGATTTATCGAGTAGATCGCTGGTTATAACATGTTATTCCCTTCAAGTTGTTATATAACGCCTGTAATTATGACCCTATACAGCCTGTACATACATTTCATTTGTGATATTTGTGAGATCGCACCCCCAAGTGTCCTTTGGGAACCCATGGAAAACCCACCAATAACCTTTTCCTGGTTTCGCCACAGCACCTTCGCCACTGCCGGGGAGGGGCAGCTGGGCAGGGTTGCCCTCCACTCATTTTGGAGCTGCTTGGGCCCAGCTAAGATGTGCTTGCTTGAACCAACAATTGCAATACCGCAACAGCCGTGAACTGGATATGTCAGATATGTTGCCAATGAAAAGCAATGGAACCAACAACATCTGAGCTATGTAGAACTACAAACTTGAATTTGCTGAAGACTTGATTTCATTTTATTTCTGCATCTAATCAATCACTTAGGGAATTTGTTTTAGAATGCCTTTGACTTTTTCGGCTAAGCCACTGCCATGGCAGCCGGCAGCGCTCACACGGTGCTGCTTCGAAGTGATGGTTGTGCTGTGGCCTGCGGATTGAACAATGATGGACAGTGCAGTCTTCCAGTTTTGGGTGAAAGAGTTGTCTACAACCAGATTTCTGCAGGTGCCAATGGATCCAAAATTACTTCAAAAAACCTGTGACAATCACATTTCAAAATCACACTTTGGGGGATGAACCTCCATAAATCCCAAATGTTGTCATGTGAACAGAAGGGCACCAGGGTTTTGATCCACCAGGTGATAATTACACGGTACTTCTCCAAAATGATGGCACTGCTGTGGCCTTTGGACTGAATGACAAAGGGCAATGTGACATTCCACCTTTGGACGCCGCAAGGCCGTACACTCAAGTCTCTGCAGGCTATGTACATACGGTACTGCTCCGAAATGACGGCAGTGCAGTAGCTTGTGGGCAGAACGACCAGGGTCAATGCAGCATTCCAGCCTGTGATCCAGAGATATCGTACGTTCAAGTTTCTGCGGGCGGCTTTCATACAGTGCTTCTCAAAAGTGATGGGAGTGCTTTGGCTTGTGGGGGCAATGATGCCGGACAATGCAATATTCCACCTTTGGATGAAGGGGTGTCATACACGCAAGTCTCTGCAGGCTATGTGCATACAGTGCTTCTCCGAAGTGATGGTCTTGCTGTTGCTTGTGGATCCAATAAGTCAGGACAATGCAACACGGGAAGTTTGCCTCCAGGAATCTCCTACACACAGGTTTCTGCGGGCAAGGAACATACAGTGTTTCTTCGCAGCGATGGCAGTGCCGTGGCAAGCGGCCGCGATCTACATGGACAAGGCCGCATACCACCTTTGCGCAAGCGCATGACATATACCCAAGTTTCTGCAGGTGGCGATCACACAGTGCTCCTCCAAAGTGATGGCACTGCCGTGGCTGTCGGAATGAATAGTGACGGACAGTGCATCATTCCATCTCTGACCTCGCGGCTGGAAAGCTTTTCACCAAGCAGCAAGCGGTACATTCCCGATCGCGCTGCACCAGTTCGTAGCGACCGTATCTTGCAGCTCGACTTTCAATGTGACAATGACGTGGTCAACCTGATCTTCTGCACCCTAGCAGGGCAGGAGGTCTTGCACCTAAAGGCCAATGGAACTGACCTGGCCTTTGATCTTTACAAACGGATCTCAAGGGAGTTCGGTGCCTGGATTACAGGAAATTTGGAAGATTTTGGGTGCCTTTTTTGGGAGGTTACCCAAAATGTTGGACAGATTTGCCACTGGAAATCCATGAGTTTCCCCTTGGAAATGATGGATCCACTTGATGGTGGCATTCCCATAGCTATCTTAGTGTACTGGAGGATATCGTTTTATCCATGGTTTTATCAAGTTTTCGTATCAATCCACCATGTTTTCGTATCAAGTGTCCCATTGGAATGCCCATTCATAGGCATTTTGGGGGATTTCCAACTTTGAGTACTAGGTTAAACTTAAAGTACTCTCTGGTAATCAAACATGGCTAGCTGGGAACCCCTATATAAATGAGGTTTGAATGTGAAAATCATACTAGACTATATCACTACATCTATAATATACACACATATAAAAAGGGAATTGTTCAGCTAGCTATGTTTGAAGACACCGTGCCGGGGAACAGAAAGCTGGTGGATATTGCACCAACGAGGAATCAGCCTTGGAAATCTTCGAGTTGTTTTGCCTGACCAACAACTGCTGGCAACGGTCTGCAGCGTGAATCCAACGGCCACACTTGCGGATGTGACTGATGCCTGCGAAGTGTACAGTAAACCGCTGGCAATTGTCAGTTTGTAGGCTAATGATAATGTGTTGATATGATATTCACATATCATACGTATTCTGAATTCTGTTTTAAATATGATGACATATGTTCACATTAAGTTAGTTCTGTAATACGCCTGCATTTACGCATGCAAACATGCTCTCCCATTGTCAGTATGGTTCTTATTGCAACAGCTGGTGCATTGCAGATCATTGAATCACTGGGGCAATTCATATGCTTGGTATCCCAGGGGAAATAAATGGTTGGTGCTCCTTACCTGGAATGATCCCCAATTTCCTTGTGCAGTGGGTGGCTCAACCACCAGATTAGCAGAAGCGCAACATTGCAAATCATATTGACTTGAACATCTCAAAAGCCACTCCACCATGACTGTCCGTTGATGTCTTACATATGTATATATATATACACTATATTTACAGACATAGTTTATGGCGTGTGTACCAGGGAACACCAAGCCCATCGGATCCCAAAGCGGTGTCACGGCTTGCCGTTGGGCTCGCCCATGTCTCACGTTTTTCGCGAAGAGAAACCCAATGACTTGCAGATCATTGGGAACACTTGGGAAAAGCTTCAAAATAACTTTTCCAATTGACTGTAATATTCAGATGAAATATATCACTTTACAAAATACTTTCAGATCATGTTACTGTCAATTGAAATATCATATAATATACAATAGCTGAAAAGCTTCAAAAGTAACAATTACAGCTTGCAATCACTGAAATTGTTACTGTAATATTTTTCATAATGATCCCAATTTTTCCAATTTTGTTACGGATTACAGCTACTGGAAAAGCCTCAATTGTATCCCAGCAAATTGGAAAAAACACATGATATTCCAGTAATACGGATCCCAGGATTTGTATCCCATTGTTCGATCAAATTGGACATGCGGATTGGTCATGAGGTTCCACATGCTCAGACATAGAGATAGTTGGTGGTTTGTTTGTTTTTATTTTTCCATATATTGAGAATAATCATCCCAACTGACTTTCATATTTTTTCAGAGGGGTTGAAACCACCAACCAGATAAAGATGGTGTCCTTGTGGATTAAAGCATACATTATGCGTAAGGGGAGTCATTCCAAAATGATTCCAAATATGCCCAGAATGGGTTTGAGGTTAATCACAAGTGCACCAAGAGTTACTCGGGCATATTGGACCTAATGATCAGCGCAAGGAAAGCCAAGTGATCAACCTAGCGGCCTAGCGTTTACCACAATATCCAAAGGGAGAGAGGTTTTGCCCGGATTACACTGTATTATACTCTGGTAATTTAACAGATTGCTTTGGTATAGATGGCCCATTTAGTTCCATGGTTTACCAATGTTTTTTCCTTTTTTTTTTATGTCAACCCTGGATTAAAAAAACCCTAGGTTGTTTAATTGGGAGGGTACCATGTAAGTATTAGATTATGACTACTGGAGGAATACCCCCTAATTAATAAACCATGGTTTATTAATCCGGGGTTGACATTAATGGTGTCAGAAACGATCCAGGAAGAGTACTGCGATGTTCCTTGAACATTTTACTCATGATATTCAGCCATATCTCATACTTTGCAGATTTTACATGTTTTCAACAGAGATATCATTTATATCTACTTACCAAGTCGAGGTGTTCGTGATCTTGCAACTGATCGTTGCTACAATTTATTCCCATTATATCTTCATTGTATCATATCTATACTCCAAATATTTATAGGCACCCACTGTATACAATAAGATTATATTCTATATAATAGAGGTGTATTTCATGTATATACTGTCCATTTTCAGGGACCCCCCAGGGGTAGGTTTCCATCTTGTCACGCGATGTCACGCGGTCCCAAGGCTCGAAAGTGCGAAAGCATGGAATCGCTGAAGAAGCAGCGCGTGTCTTGGTGACAGCATGGTGATGGGTCAAGACACTGGTACCCAGATGGTACCCTAAAAGATCGCTGGTCAATGGATGTTTATATTCCGCCAGTCATATGTCCGGGTAAATTATAACGACCTCACTGCGACCTCACTGGAATCATGGCCAATAAGGGAAATCATCCCCAAATGGCCTCAATTCAGGTCAGTGAAATATTATAATTTACCCAGATAAATGTTGATAGGGTAAAATAGGTTTTGACCTTTCCCCAGATGGCTGAGATTCGCGCTTCTTATTGTTTGTTGGTTAAGAAGCCTTCAGGAAGCCCTTATTGACAGGTGTCCACCGGCCAAGATTGACCCATACCAACCATGTATGTTCTATCTATACTTTCATAACTGGCTAATTTTGGGGAAAATATACCATGGGCCTTAAGTACTCATACTATTGTTTGCATTACTGTTTGCCAATCAGACTTGTTTGGGTTTTGGTCCTTCCATTTAAAATATGTTATATAGATCCACCATTGATGAATTTTAGCACAGATTTTTTTGGGATTGCAATCCATGGTTTCCCAGTTAAGAACCCCATTTGAGCTCTGCTTGCCGCATGTATCATCTCAAAATCATGACAATCCATGACTGGGAATTTCAGAGGGGTCTATACAGGATGGTGCCCTCCAGTTATGTTTGTTGGTTTATAAACCGCATGAACACTGTAGTGAATAATCTACCATAAACATCCATAAACCATAGTTAAGCCACTTATAAAAGGCGCCTTGCCGCCTTAGCTACGCTATCGACATCTATCGACTGGGGGCCCCATCCTTTTTTGGATTGGGAGTTCCATGATGGCATCACCGGACCTCAGCAGATCAAATTCCTCTTGCGAAGATGTTCCGGTGTATCGTTAAGATGATTTACCCTCTGGTAAATTAACATAGACCTTGAAAATCACCAATTGTTAGAGGAAACTAATCTTTCAACTCCTATCTGGCAGGGTCTATGTTAATTTACTGGAGGGTATGATCTATTCGCCCTTCCGCTATTCCGCTATTCCCAAAGTTTCCATGTATTCAGATAGATATGGATAATTGTGACACCTGCTGTTTCTCTTTAGAATCCCATTGATTTCCATTGATGTAACAATGTTTCCATCAACGATGATTAACTATTATGGGTTAAGTACCAGAATAAGATGATAAACCATATTTGTTCATTCCATAACCAGAATTGATATACTAACCTATTGACTACCTTGAAACCCATTGATTTAACGATATGATACCTCCGTTCGTCCAACAACGAAGCAGCGCATGGCCCTTTGAAAAACCGTGCGCAGGAGCTGGCCCGACGGAATTTGCAGCATCACGGGGGATTGCTGGAGGATCCTGAGGCCAAGGTGAGGCGCAGGTTGATTGATTTCTGGAGATTGCTGGAGATTTATGATAGATACATATAGATACCCTCTGGTTATGACTAACGTAGCGAACTGGAAGCCATGACCCATAGAAATAGATGATGTTACCAGCGAACGAAACCTCCATTTATGGTTGGGATTTTCCATGGCTATGTGAAATAACCAGAGGGTAGATCTCAGTCTTGAAACGGAGATGTACTAGCCAGTGTATGATTGTATGATATGGATGGAGATGTTACATTTCGTTCCATCGATTTTTCTGGTTGCATGGTGGTTTCTGTATGGAAGATGGCTCCCTTGGCACTTGGCAGTTGAGGAATTTTTGGGGCCTTCCGAGTTGCGATGGGCCCAAGCTTCAGACCTTGGTATTGCTGTACAAAAAAATTGAAAGATACTCTTGATTTACAGCCGTACACGTGCTTGGTTTCATCCTTTTAACTGACGCCCATTTAGTGCAGTTCAGGTAGCCAAATTGCGATGTATTGTTGGGATCAGGGCTTGATTACCCACCCAAGCCAAGGTCAAAATTGCTGACCGAAGCTACTAAACCATGGACTGCAATCCAAGTGTGAAGACAACGAAACTCTTTTAAAAACCATCTGTGCACCGAGGAACTTGGTACACTTAGCATCAAGTCATCAAGTGGCATTGACGCACAGGATTCATAATCCCACCCTCTGCTGAGATCTTTTTGGGAATGGGATTATGCTTTGCAAGTGACGACGTTTTTTTTTTTCATGGGTGGATCGGGCATGTTTTTCTCGTTATATCATTTATACATAATATATATACATATTTATTTGTTTATCATGTTAAATTGGCAAGGATATTCCAATGTTCCAATGCACTATAGTCATAGTTTACTTGGTTGTACGTTGTAACCCCTTTGGTTGCTTGGTTATATTGTTGTTCTGTTGGTGATATTGATATCATGTGCACAAACATTGTTCGGAACGTATTATCCCAATTGTGGGTGGTAGCATTGTTCCTCATTGTGCCCCGTAGAAAATAAACCAAAGTACCCATCTATAATATATATATACACCATAAATCCAAGATCTATCGGAGTTTTAAACCAGTAGAAACTTATCGTGTTTTGAGATCCACGGCCATTTACCTCCAATTGGGGATGGTCAAACGCAACCTTTTTGTTCAATAAATATAGATTTCATTTCGTTTTAAACATCTTTGGAGCGCCAGGTGCTTCTGTTTGTAGGACCTTGGGCGCAACACGCAGGCGCGATGGGCAGTGCTGCGGAGAAAAAGGGGCCCTGCGGAGCCGAAGTTGCTCACCGGATGTCACACTGGAGATATTCGCTATGTATCGTGTATGTGAATGTGTATATTATTGCAGAGAAATGTATACTGATGTATATAAACTGATGCAAACTGATGTATACTGATATATACTGTGTAGACTTGATTCCATTGCTGCAGGTTACTCAGCCGATGTTGCTTTGCTGTATCCAGACATTCTCATGATCCTCATGGCCTGTAGAGTTTCCATATGAAGAACTGTATCTATTTTGAACATTCTTGAACTCTTGAAAGAACTGTTCTTTAAGACATATATCATATATAATACTTATATATATATGTGTTTTTCAAGGTACTGTCCAATTGTCAAGTTGTCTTGTGTTCCAAATAAGGAGCAGTGTTTGGCGTACGCTTTGATTGACGTTGCTCAACAGCTGGAGAGAAGGGTCTCTTTGGGAAAATCGTGCATTCTTCCAATAATCATTCGTGATTTCTGCAAATGAGTGCCATTATTGGAATGTGTGTGTATAATATATATATAGATTATATATATATATTCTATTATATATTAAATATAGTGTATATATGTATGTCTGTACGTATAGATTTAGACGCATTGACATTGTAGCTGTTCACCATCCCTTTCTCCTCAGGTGTGGAGGAAATTGCGGAAGTTTTGCCTCAGATCCTTTGCCGCCACGAGAGGGTGCGGCCTGGTGGCCTGCTGGTTGACGTACCAAGGGCTAACCGATGCTAACCAGATTGAAACCATCCCTATTTTGGGACGAGTCCAGATTGCCAAGTGCCGATTTCCTGTGAAATTATGATGTAAGCGCCGTTGTTCTGGGTGAGCCTCCACGCTTGGGAAAAGAATCATGTTTCTGGTGACGCCTTTTGTGGATTAACCATCCTCCGTATTTTTCAGGGTTAAGGCACCATATAATTTGATTGTGGCCAACCCCTATTTGCAAATCCCAAAATTCCAAGTTTGTGTGTGAACTTCAAGTCTTGTCAGTGAAATCATAGCTAATTTTTGATGACTTATTCTGGGTAGGTCCATATATTTATGCTGGTCAAATTCTAGTTTCTGTCGATAACACAAATGTCTGATGTGAAACAAAAATCTCATGCCTGGTCGTTCAATCCTCATTCCTGCTGGTGAAATGATGCTTATATAACTTACGTTGGTCACATCCCCTCTTTTTGGTGAATTTCTCATGTGGTGATGTTGTTGGCAGACCAACATCTGGTTGGTTGTTTGGATTTTTTTTATTTGTCCATATATTGAGAATGTCATCATCCCAACTCATATTTTTCAGAGGGGTAGGTCAACCACCAACCAGACATGTTCGGGGAAGAATTGAACAGAATTGGTGATGTTCACAATTGTTGGTCGATGAAATCAAGACTTTTGGCGGTGAAAATCCACTTTTTGGCGGTGAAAAATGTGAAAAAATGTTGGTGAAATCTGTACTGTTGCTGGTGAATTCCATGATGTTTTGGTGTAAAATCATGACAAATCTTCATGATTGTTGGCAAAAACAACATTTATAGATAGTTTTACATGTAAACATCCCCGGATGTTTTTTGTGGCTCCATTGCACCCATTGCATTTGGCGCAGATCCGCCAGGCACAAGTGTTGCTCTGCGGTCTGTGCAGCGATCTGTACCTCGGGTGCAGTGACCAGTGGGGATTGGATGATTGGATCGCTGAAAAATCACAAGGCCATGATGAAAGAAAGTTGAACATGTCACTGGGGAAGTGACAATGGTTAATAATGGTGATTAATTGATGGTGATTGATAATGGTTAATAATGGTTCATCTATATAAATAATGGTTAATAATGGAGAATATACAATGATATAGGGGAAGTGACAGACTATATATTAATAATGGTTAATAATGGAGGATAATGGTTCATACTGGTGATCAATGGTGATTGATACCTGGTTTTTCATGAAACTGGTTATTATCTATTATAAATGGAGGTTTATAGCTGGGAAAATCATCTGTGATATCATGGATAATCAAGGATAATACTGGACAATAATGGATAATCATGAATAACTGGTTGGTTTTACTGTGATAACTATACTGGTTGGTGGTTTGGAACATGGCTTTTATTTTCCATAATATATGGGATAATTCTTCCCATTGACTAATATTTTTTCAAAATGATTCAAACCGCCAACCAGTATACATTCTCAAGAGCTACCCTACCAACGAATGTTGTCAACCAAAGCATGAGAGATTTAGCCACAATGAGGGGGAAACAGCTTCAAAACCACTGTTGAGTGAAGTAACGAGCACTTGTTGATAAGCTCGGGATTTCAGTTTCATGATTTGTCTTTGGAGCCAGTGCTACACGGGTACCAACACATATGTTGATATTTGAAAAATGGTGAAATTAGGATGTTGACCTGTAAATGCGAGATTTAGCAGTAATCAAGTGGAGATCATGCGAAAGCCATCTTTTTTTTTCGGTGGGGCATACTCATACTCTCATTTATGAGAATGTAAACATTGGGGATAGTAAAGTTTGGGACATGTGGCACTGTGGTCTTGGGGTGTATACCCAAGTTGGAGACACATTTCTCAATGTTGTCTGGGTGAAAATTGGCTTGAAATATCGGTTAAATGATGATTCTCCACCCAACAGTTTATGTTTCTGGAGGGTATATCACAAGTACGCAGGAACATATAATATCCTTTCTTGAAAGCCCGTTCTGATTGGCTACGTGGGTTGTGTGTTATAGCACCCTTAGCAAGCAAGCGACTATCCCATATGGTGTTAGGGGCCAGTTTGGGTCAAACACATCGGATCTGTAAGACGCGTTTTTTTTCATGTTTTTTTTTTTCCCAAAGGTGACCAGCCATTTATGGATTCTCAAAAATGCTACCCATTTCCACTCGTCTTTCCCGCCACCGTCGCGGCATTGGTCTGGTTCGACCTGAGGTCCGGTGTGATGGCGCAAGACATGCTGTGTCGCGTCATGAGTTCCTTCCCTGGCGCCTCGGCTTGCTGTGGCTGATCCTCCAAGTCTACCCTTTGGTAAACATACAAAAAGCTGTTGAAAATGGTGATTTATAGTTGATTTACCCATTAAAAAATGTGATTTTCAATAGCTATATTAGTTTACCAGAGGGTAGTTGAATTTAGTTGGTTTAGTCTCACCCATGCAATACTATATGGGTCTGTCTGAAAATGGAGTATACAATGGAGTATACGCCCAGTTATAGCCATTTAGTGGAGGGAATGATGATAAACGATAAACGATCAAATGTTAGAGTACCCCGTTTTCAGACAGATAGATCTATACCATAAGCCAGAATTAGTAAGTTCAAAATCCCTCGAACTATCCCTGCTTAAAATGCCGAGCCCGCGGGTCAGAAAATAAGGCCATTGTGGAATAGAGGTTGGTCAAATCCAGAGAAGATATCTACCGGCTTAGTTCAACCATATGTGGGTCGACCACACTAAGTTGCTAGAACTAAGTAGCAAGTATACCAGGTATCTAAATTGACTATTTACCCACTATTATAATATTATTCTTGAATATACTAGTAGGTAAGGAACATACAAAATTACTAGAATAGTGACTACTACTTCTTACCCAAAGCATTGGAATAGTAGCTTAAGGATTGATTCCCATATATTCCCCATATTTCCCATTTATTGATTCACTATATTTTTCCCATTGTTTGTTGGTTCATACATAACCCCCATCTATATTTGTCCCATATGTACATGTATATATATGTGATATATAAATAGACCTTAGAGCATAACCATATTAACCAGATATTTCACCTTTTTTTTCCCCGTAAAGAGCTACTGTGGGCCACGGAGCGCTACCCGGTGAGCCACGGAGCTTCAGTGGCCCCAGGCCGCCTCTGTTTCTTGTCGGAGCGCTTCGAGTTGCCAGAGGACCTCCGACGAGGCCGGGAATACCGACCCAATGGGATACAGAAAAAAACGGTGGTTCGATGTGGTTAGTAACGGGAATCGTAGCAATTCTGGAAGCATGAAAATCCACATTTATGTGGTTAGATGTGGCTAGATGTGGTTAGATACTATCATTTATCGGTATCCAATTCTTTCCAATCTTGAACTTATCTGATTTGTTGTCTGAATGATGTTGTCTTTCTACGCAGGAACCAGACCAAGAGCACTTTAGCTCAGGTTGGGGAACTGGCACAATTCAGCGAGATAGACAATCCAAAGAAACATGAATGGGTTAGCGTTTCACTGTTTAGTTGTGCTTTGTTGTTAAAGCTGGAAGTTGAGTGTTGATGGTAGAAACAAAGAACATCTATATAATATATTTGGTTTGGGGAAGTTGAGGTGCAACTTCCTTGTGATCCCAGTGGTTTGGCGGTTTTTGCAAGACCTCATGCTTGGACAGACGCAGGATTGCAGATCCACTTCAGCAACCCGTGAAATCATTAAGATGGCCATGTTGTGGGTACCGTCCAAGGCCCCCAAGGCTTCAAAACTGTGGACCGTGGTGTTCTCACCCAGAAGGAATGATGGATCACAGACATCAATGCTGGTGGCTTCATCCGCGCCGGAAGACTTGTTCTGGTCTCTGACGTCTTGGAAGGGGCAAGCCATAGCCAACTGGAGGCATTTTGAAGTCAGCAAACTTTCCACTCCGACCATGAATTTTCGTCGACTTCAGCGTCGCAGATCGACCCTGGTCCGGAGATGCGCCGACTTTTCTTTACATTTAGGGCCGCAATGGGCCGCACATGAACATCTTTCAAGAGATCTGAGGAACTAAAAACTGGAGATTTCTTGACCAACAAGAATAGGTTTTAATATGTTTTAATCAACAAGAATGCGTTCTTAAGCGACAAGAATGGATCCTTAACTCACAAAAACAGGTGCTTCACAAACAAAACATGTTTTCCAACGTCGGCCCAGTTGTTTCACAGCATCATCCAAGCTGATCCAGCTGGTGTATCCCCTTCGGACACACACCCTTCATCCACCTCGACCTCGTTGCATGGGGACCTTATACGATATAGTTGCTGTCACATGTTATGTTTGGTGTTTTTTGCTGTCATTGTGAAGTATACCTTGATAATCAAACATTAGTAACATCAAAATTAATTCTATTGCATGCGTACATAACATCAAGCGTACATCCGTTACATCACATCAAATTGAAGTTAAATCAATGTATTGCTTCACATCACATGTCCAATAGTTTACAATACACTAGACTATCACAGCAGTTCAAAATCCATGGGACATTCCGCCATTCGCACCGCGGACGAGGCGTGGATTTCCTGCTGGCGCCGTACTTGTCGGAACCCATCGGACAGTCGGATGTGGAGATGGGGTTCCTCGGGGTGCCTTGGAAAGCGGGTGAGGGGGAAACCCAAGGATATGGTCAGGTTCCTGTCAAAACTCATGGCTTTTTAACAGCAAATGTTTAGAAGCTCTGATCATGAAATGTGTCTTCTAGGTGTGGATTTGGGTGCGTGGTCAAAGGACCCATCAAAAAACACTGCAATGAACGTCTCCATGGGTTCTGGTGGCCGCCCAATGAAAATATCTAGACATCCCAGGACCATTTGATGCTGTGAGTCGAAATGCTGAAGATTCTAAGGAGTTGTGGCCATTGTTGGTGCTAGTTAGTTGAAAGTTGAACCTTGCTCATTGTGTTTGCAATGATACTACTGCACGGCTTGGTTCTAATCATGCTGCACCGGGATGCAGCATTATTCATTACCTGGCCCTGAAGATTGTCTCAGACATTTGCTGGAACCTCAAACTTCCCTTTAGTCGGATTTTACGGTAAAGCACCCTATATTTGATGGATTTTGATGCTAAAGCCGTGGTGTCCTGCAGATGTTCCGTCAAAAACCAACCCATTGACCAAACAAAAGAGTTAGTACATCAATAATTCTCCCTATTTTTGATGGGCTCAAATCAGTAAAATCCATTGAAATCCTATATTTTGTTTGATAGTTCAACCGCCTGTCTTCATGAAGTCCCAGTCTTCCTGGCTTCCAGGTGCCAACGATTGGCTGTGCGGCTGGTGCATTAGGCCTGGCAGCCTGGTCAATGCGGCTGGTGATTCCCCCATGGTGATGGGGATAACCCATGCTGGATTGACATTTATGGGATTTACCCTCTGGTAATTTAACATAGCTATTGAAAATGGCCATTTATAGTGGATTTACCTATTCAAAATGGTGATTTTCCATACGTAGTTATGTTAGTTTACCAGAGGGTAACTAGAGATATTGTGGTGTGAAAAATCCATTGTGACCTATTTTAATGACATGTGACATGTGCATGTGATACACATTTATATAGATGGACTATTTGTATTTCATCTGCATGCACACAGACATGTGCACTTACTTGGAATTTATATGATTTTGTTCATTCTCTGTTTGTGTTGGTAGCATCCTCACTTTATATTTTTTTTAATGGGACACACCTCTTGTGGTGAATGGGACAATCATGCTCTGGTAGTATCTACCTGTTTGTGTTGGTCAGTTTGAAAGGTTGTTACAAGATTACTGTTTTCAAGCCAAGTGTTTTTCCCTTTTTGGATCGTTTTTTTCATGCTCTCATTGTTGCTGTCCCTGTGGCAATGCCTATCCTTTTTGATGAGCTTCAGGGTTTCCTTCACTATTCCAAATCCAGGATAGTAAGTGGCTGGTATTGTTGAGCGGTCATAGTCAGGACATACCTCGGGTTTGTTGGAAAATAGGCTAGGATCATCCGTGAAATTCTCAACATGGCAATGTATCCCATGGTATCCCATAAAATGCAAACCTTTTGTGGAAAAACCATGAAAAACCATCCGATTTCCATTCCTGGGATCGTCTTTTCATAACAGCCCCAGCAGGTCGAATGCCTGGAGTGTACTTTCATCAGCCGGGAACACAGTCGAGGGGAATGAACAGTGGATGAATGGAAGATCGACAGGAACTCGTATATATATATATATATACATTATATATAATTATATATAATTATAATATATATATAATTATAATATATATATAATTATAATATATATATATTATTTTATATAATTATAATATATATATATTATAATTATATATATGTGTATATACATATATATATATATATATATTTGGCGGGGTCAAGCACACGGTTTCCTGCAGATTTTCCCACTGAACGAACCACAGTATAGTTTTTTGTGATTTAGTTCGCGGAAGACTAGATTTTGGTGGGAACCTTGAGTTTCTGCGTATGAGCAATCCCTTTACACTCATGGGACCTGGGACCTTTGTAAAAAATATGGTAAAAGTAAGTACTATTGAAAAAACTGACTAATTTTATCCGTTGAAAAATACATATCTCCCCGTGTGAGGCAAAACTCTACTGGTCGCGACATGTTGAAGACTGGCTTCTTTGGCGCCGTCGACTATGCCTTGCACCTCGGCTCCAGCAGCAGCTTGGCCCAGGTGTATGATCTACCCCCAACTGATGGATCAATAATGCAAGTTTCTGATGGGAAAAATGAATAAAAATGATGTTGTTTTGCCCGTGGATGGAATGGTCCGAATTTGGAGAAACAATTCAACCATGTCAAAGAGTCTACAAAACTACTATAAAATGAAGATTTTATCATCAAAAACAAGTATGTTTTTTCAGAAAGTGAGATTCGACCAGGAATAAATCATAATCTCCCCATTTAATTTAGGGGTAAAACACATAATGAACATTCAATTTGGGAGGGTTTATGCAATCCATTTCAGGTGAAACTGGGGATGTGTGGTTAAGTGTTTGCTGCATTATCTCTCCACTGTATACCAAGTGGTTGACTGCAGTCAGCAAGCAGATAAGTCAGCCCAGGGTTGGTCCAGTTATGTCCAGTTGTAAGTGCTGTTATGACCAGAAATTAAGTGCTTTTGAGTCCCAGTGTATCCATGATATTCTATAGTATTTATATAGCCCCCAGTTACAGGTCCCATCGAAGCCCTAGTTCTAATTACCAGAAGCCCTAGTGAAGTAGCGAACTGGGGAACTACTAGTGCCTCGTAAAACCACTATCATAGACTATCTATATCACCGATAATTCCTATGTAGTGGATATCTACAATGATATATGTAGTTTATATATATATATACACTATATCTGACTATATCTAGATACTATAGTAGAAGAGTAGTTCCTATATCTATATAGTTGATTTCTTTATGATTATCTATACAATATTTACCCAGTAATAATGGTATCTACTCTATAGATACAATGATAGAATAGTACTTCCAATTCCAATATCTATTATAACGATACTAAACTATAGTAAAGATATATCTATTTTTATCATACTGTTATCAGATCTATAAAATTCTATAACTACATGGTCACATATGTATATATATATATATATTAGTAGATCTATATTTTCACCACATATTCACCATATATTCACCATATATTGACCATGTAGATGTGGTAAAATAGATTAACCATATAGATAACTACATATCACCATATATATATATACATTGATACCTATAGTTATATAATATATGTCACCATATTTCACCGTAAATAGTTATGAAAAGTTCACCATATAATAACTGGTTGGTGGTTTGGAACATTTTTTTTTGTTCCATTCAGTTTGGAATGTCATCATCCCAACTGACGAGCATATTTTTCAGAGGGATTGCAACCACCAACCAGAATATGTTTATCAACTATATCAGCTATATCCAAAATAATCATCAACCAATACATTTATCAACTATATTAAATGTGATATTCCACATTACTTGCATTGAAACCACCAACCAGATATATGTGTGTTCATATTGTAAATTCTAGAATTCACATCACTGGTTGGTGGTTATATAGTTCACCATATTTCACCATATTTCACTGTATTTCACCATAAATAGCTATATATATATATAAATCACCACAGTTCACTGTATTTCACCACATTTCACTGTATGTCACCATAAATAGCTATGACAAATTCATCATATAAATCACCATATATTAATGTCATAATACATCGATATACATCGATATAGCACCGGCCAGGAGCCTCTCAGAGGACTACTGGCGTTTGGCCAAGGCAGCCACCGAGGCGACCAGGACCGAGGCCGCTGGGCGCAAGAGCCGAGGGGAAATCCATGGTTTCTATGAGGAAAACTATGGAAAATCCATGGGAAATCTATGGAAAATCCCCGGAAATGGTATGACATTGATACAAGGTGGTACCCCCCCAGTTTTAAGTGAACGTTGGTTAACAAAAACCATAGGACTAGTATGTCAACATATCTACCTAATCAACCATAGTGAAATTGGAGTTAGCTATGCACCAACTTAGCTAACGAACTGGGGCACCACCTTGTATGAGGAAAGCATGGAAAATCCATGGAAAATCTATGGAAAATCTATGGGTTTTATGGGGGAAAACCATGGAAAAGCCATATGATTTTGTGGGGGGGAAGTCGTGGAACATACGGAGGTTTTGTTCTAATAGAATGAAATTGAGTGTTGGGAACATATCAAAAACTTGGACCGGACTTGAGCAATGAACACTAGGGCCTTCATCCACAATAATGGGAATGTAAGGAGGGCATGATGGGTTCGTCTTGGTTGTTGCTTCATGGTGAAGCATTGGCATTGGCACAGGGCGACACAGGGTGAATAAAGAGGTAAAAGGACCCATCCATCCCTTCTTGTGGCTATCATTAACCTCTAGTAGGCTTGAGTGCAAGATGGGATCAATGATTCCCAATGGTTTTGCATTTTGAGTTTACGCACCCTGATGACTGTTGGTCGACCTATCCGCACCAAGAAAGGGACAAGAGGGCGTGAGGTTGGGGACAATTGCTCCTTTGTTTTCCATTTCTGGCATTGATCTTGATCGATCTGCAGTCCATCCTGCACAATGCGCCAGCAGAATTCTAAGCTCGTTGCTGTGCCTTGACTTTGTGTTATTTGTGCTGGTGGATCCTGTCTCATTTGTCTCATGTGGGTAGTGGCCGTAGTGGCCCAAGATGTGTCAAAACAAGTAACAAGGGATGGCCATCCATCAAAACTGATGATTGAAACATATTGAAACCCTAAAGTATCGAACTGGGTTTCGGGGATCTTTGCCCTTTATTGTGGAACTTTGACCGATTTGAAACCAGAAATCATGGTGCTATACTGCAGGTTGCAGCAGGAAGATTACATGGTCAACAAAACCTTCCGCAATGCGTTCTGCATGCGCAGACCAGACGACCGTGCTTATCCGAAGTGATGGCCGTGCTGTAGCTTGCGGGGACAATTTTGATGGACAGTGCAACATTCCACCTCTGGATGAAGGGGTGTCATACACGAGGTTTCTGCAGGTACTACCCACGTGGTGCTTCTCCGAAGTGATGGGAGAGCTGTTGCTTGCGGAAGCAATGCCCAAGGACAATGCAACATTCCACCTTTAGAGCAGGTCATTTCTCGTGTGGATGCTGACATGGATCGTGTTCATGCTTGGCTTGTTTTTGTGCAGCGAACCATTTGGGAACTTCGGCATGGCTCTTAAAGTGCTATGCTGATCCCTGCATGATTTACTGTTGATGTCGTTTGCAATGGCCTGGGTTTCCCCCCTTTTGTTTTGGGGTTGATTACTGGCGGGTCTTTTGGTATTTGTTCAGGGCTTTTTAGCTCTGTGGATTGGGTGGCGGCGCTGTTCACTCAGTGCCCGTCCACGTGCGCTACTCATTTGGGGGTAGTTCACTAGTAAAGTTTCACATATACCAATGTTGCTGCAGGGCATGTTCACACGGTGCTTATTCAAAGTGATGGCCGTGCTGTAGCTTTCGGAGACAACACTGCAGAACAATGCAACATTCCACCTTTGGATGCAGGAATGTCATATACCCAGGTTGATGCAGGGGTTTATCACACAGTGCTTCTCCGAAGTGACGGTTGTGCCGTAGCTTGCGGAAGCAACACTTCGGGACAATGCAACATTCCACCTGTGGATGAAGATATTTTCTACACCCAAGTTTCTGCAGGTCTAGGTCACACCGTGCTTCTCCGAAGTGACGGTCGTGCCGTAGCTTGCGGAAGCAATGCCCATGGACGTTGTAACATTCCACCTCTGGATGAAGGGGTTTCATACATGCAGGTTTCTGCAGGCAATGTGCACACGTTGCTTCTCCAAAGTGATGGCGGCGCTGTTGCTTGCGGACGCAATGGCTCCAATGGAACTTGCAACATTCCACCTTTGGATGAAGGAGTTTGGTACACCCAAGTCTCTGCCGGTGTTTCTCACTCATTGCTTTTGCTTTGTGATGGTAGCGCAGTAGCTTTTGGAGATAATCACTTCCGTGAATGCAACCTTCCATCCTTAGAACCAGGTACTTTCTACCTTTCTGATACTGATATGTTATCTGGAAGAGATCGTGTGCTGCAACTGGATTTGATCAGTGATGATGCCATCGCGGTGACATGCTCTGATTTGGCTGGAGAAGAAGTAGTCTGTTTGAATGCAGGTGTGTCTGATCTTGCTTGGAATAATCATAAGGCCATCGCACGTCAATTGCATGAGTGCCTTCAGAATCTTCGACTGGTCCTGCCAGACGGACAGTTGTTGGCGTCAGTCTGCCGCGCAAATCCAGGGATCACCGTTGCGAATGTATTTGAACGGCGCAAGCGAGCTCGTCACACATAGTTTCAGAGCGAACCAAATGCGTGCCCCGCCTGCGCTGTTCGCAAAAAAAGAGTTGGTGAATTTTATTTACTGTACCCGTTAGCCAGAGTTGTATTGTATATGATATGCACCCCACTTGACAACTACTTGAAACTGGTGGTTTGCCCATGGTATGTCAAGCTGGGAGATGCAGTTGCGGCATTATGAGCATTGCAACTAGAAACCTTCGGATTGTGGTATTAATTTGCCGACTTTTATGGCTACAAAGTGAGTTGGTCAAGGTTATGTTTCATCAGAGTTGATTGGAACTATTTGCCGGGGACCAGGATGACCCCCATGATCGTCGTGGATATATAAATGATAAGTAAACAACTATGACTAGACCCACATGATCATTGCGGAGTGGCCGGATTGGTCCCGAAAGTTCTGAAGGGATGCTCAAGAAGAGTTCAGAAACGTTCAAATTATGAGACCAATCCATGTATCACAATGATGAGAAGCCGCAAATTAGGAATTGACATCCATATGACTACTTTAGACTTTGAGGCTCATCTTTTTTGTGAGGAAGAAATATCCTATATTCTATATTTGGGGATGGTACCTGCAATCAGTCAATGGCTCGAAAACGAACTGCATCCCTTCAAAACAAGCAGAGTTCAGGGGCAGTCCCAGCCATTCAAAACCTGGGTCCTAACTGAGTGATCATTCCAGTCTGTTTAGCATTGATTCTAGTCTTTATATTTTTCTTTCTTGGCGGTTCCTTGGGACACTGCGTGGTGATGAGACGCAAGAGGTTGCGGGCAGTTGGTCTTACAAAAACAATCCAAAATTGAACAGCAATCCTCTAAACAAAAATTGGAAAACTGACATGAAACCCAAACAGCGGAATTTACCCTCTGGTAAACTGATATTCTATGGAAAATCACCTTTTCAAATAGGTAGATCATCAAAAGTAATGGGCCATTCCCATCCATTATCCCTAGCAAACTGCATCACATTACCGGAGGGGCCCGCACCTGCTGCCAGGCCAGTTTTGGCGAGCTGTGGCAAGTCAACCTAGCCAAGGCCGGGCACAAAAATTGGGGACGGTAAATTTTCCCTTTTTTTGCCTCCGGTCATCAAATCTGGCAAGACTGGCAAGACTGGCAAGATAAAAAGACGGTTTAATGAATGAACTGATATAACTGACGAAGCCTTCGCGACCCCATAATTGTAGCCATGGATGTGCAAAAAAAAATGCCACAACTTTCTGGCTGCCACACTCGTCGTAGCATCCCCATGACATGCCGAGACCATGGCGATCAACGTTGATCATGAGCTGATTTTGGGGTGCCATCTTTGGTCGGAAATCTTTGGGAATTCCCAGGTTTTGGGGCCCTGACATGGATATGTCAGAATTATTTCACTGAGTCTCATTCGCTTGAAATCTGCGCTAATTGAATCAACAATGCACCCTGCTCTCTCTTGCACAATCCTAGTATACTGTAATGTCAGCCCCAAATCTCTGAACCCTGGGCCATGGGCATTGTGGGTGCCATTCTGATTCTGATTCGCAGAGTATCCTAGACCATCAGAATTACCCTCTGGTAATTTAACCATATTTAACATAACGAACTGGAAAGATCCACCATTTTCAATGGGTAGTCATCCACTATTTCTATGGTAATTTTCAATAGCAACCTGTTAGTTTACCGGAGGGTGTCTGTTCAGGATGACCCCGAGCTGATTCCAAAAAACCAGCCACGGCTTGGAAAAATCCGCCGGTGATTTTTTTTCCATGGAAAAATGTAGCAAGGGTAGATTGATATACCCTCTGGTTATTTAACATAGCCATGGAAAATCCCCAATCATAAATGGAGGTTTATAGCTGGGAAAATCATCTATAAATGGGCTATTTTCCATAGCTATGTTAATTAACCAGAGGGTACATACGAAAAAACTTTTCTTCAATGGTTTGATGGTTTAACCATCAAGTATGTCAATCATTGAAATGGATTGAAATGGATCAGCTTGTACATATTTGAACATGATCATTCGTAGCAATATTTTTGTGCCACTTCTTACCTTCCAGGTCTATGATGAGGTGCAGCTGAGCTTCATCGGACGGCAAGGTGACGATCAGGACTCCGGGGGAAGGGGAAGGGAGGGAGTTAAACTATGAACAACGGGGACTTGAATGTGGAGATCAATGGGGTTATTCATGGATTAATTGCGAATTAGTTTCTTGATGTTTCTTGTAAATTAACATAGCATTTAAGTTTAGTGGATACTAATCGTCCAACTCCTTATTTGGCAGGTTCCAACTCTTAGTTTTGGGAGACGGTAATGCTTCCATGTGCTGGTAGGATGTGATTCATAGGGAGATGATCAATGGAACAAATGCACCACACAATGACCTCACTGTGGATGGTAGTTAGTCTTGGGAATTCCCCTCAACAAATGGTTTGTTTCTGAGTTGGGAATAGATCAATTATACATAATATTATATATATTGTATAATAGTAATGTGTCTAGACATGGGATATGAAATGGATACGATTATTAAATTTGATTAATATGTTGATGGGATATAATCTGAATATAATGAAATATATTAGGATAATATATATATATATATAAGCAGCAATGTAGATGTCCTTTATTGCAAGCAAAATACGCACCATATGCTAGGTTTGGCTGCCTGTATGACTTGTGGTAAAACATGTCACCACAGTGCATGCATGTGTACTCCGCAGCCCTGTTCGAAGTGGCACAAAACGGTGAGTCCGCTTTTCGCATGGTAGCGGAGCTGGTTCCTGACCGATCAGGGCCGGCATCCGCAGACGGTTTACACCGCCCGTAAGAGGCGGGTAACACCGCAAACAGCTGTGCTTGGAGCAGCGTTTGCGCCTCGTTGAGTTCGAGGAGAAGAAGACTGGTAGCTGCGTGTGGAGCAGCACCTGGACCTCTCCGACGAGAGGACAAATCCCCGGCAAGACGGGGAAGGGAAAAGCAAAGGGCCAAGGAAAAGCCCAAGAGAGAACCAGGTCCGCCCGAGCCATAGAGCGGCGGATACTACGTGGGGCAGCAAGGCGTGCAGAAGGCTTGCTGAACACCACTGTGGAAGCAGCCAGCGGTACGACCAACAGGCCGGACCACAACGAGCTGGACTACGTGGAAGGCTTGAGACTTCAGGCCGTTCCAGAACAAGAAGTACCAGAGTTTCTGGACGTGAACAGGACTGTGGTTGGTGGTCTGCCAACACACAGCAAAGCAGGAGGAGCGACCAAGCGCGTGTGGGGCAAGTTCGAGAAGGACTACCCGAGCCTCGCCAAGGTCGTACAGTCTACACCGGGTGGAAAGGCGAGAAAGTCCTTCGCCCAGGAAGAAGGAGGTCGACGAGTAGCACAAGGACTCGTTGCACCTAGGGCACAAGTCGTGCCAACCACACTGCCGCCGCCTGTGGAGAGGAAGAAGTAGGAGAGGAAGAAGAAACACACGCGGCAACCAGCGTGTGGTACTCTGTGGACGAGTTCGGGAACTTCAAGGAGGAGGTCGACGACTCGCCCGAAGAAGAGGAAAGGCCGAAGACCGAGCAAGCGTCTTCAGCGGCAAGCAGCAGCTCAGTGGGTGTCTCCGAAGTCGCCCGAGCTGTTCAGGACCTAGAGCTGAGGAGTCAGAAAGCCTCAGAAGAAAGAAACCAAGAAGGTCGAGAAGAAGGACGGGACTACCAGCGTGAGGAGTTGGAGGACCGTGAAGAGCGGGACTACCAGCGTGAGGAGTTGGAGGACCGTGAAAGCAACTGGAGCGAGACAGCTTCCAGTAGCTCTACAAGCTGGTCGAGGAGTACCTGGAGTAGCAACTGGGGAAGCGACCAGTCGAGGGCTTGGTCTGTACACTAGAAGTGTAAATAGCCTCGTGTACCATAGCCTGTAAAGATGGCAACGGTAGAACAGTTGCAAGCACAGCTCGCGCAAATGCAAGCGCAGCAAAACCAATTGGTGGAAGGTTTGCAACGTGCGAACCAAAGTTTTGAAAGTCAAGCAAGACGGTCGAACGAAACTGAAACGAGACTGCAGGAACAGACGGACAAATTGACCCGGACTGAAACGGAGCTAGCGCAAAGGACACAGGCGCTGGCACAGCAAACAACACAACTTGCCCAGGCTCAGCAAGCACAGGCAAGCAGCACACAACCGGCTGGGGTAGAAATGACAAAACTGATTCACCCTAGCAACGTCCCAAAGCCGCAAGTTTGGGATGGTAAAAGAGAAGGATGGGAAAAGTTTAAACATGTGTTCGTAGCATGGAGTTCCACTGTTCACCCCAAATACCCTGAAATGTTGGAAAAGTTTGGGGAAAGTAAGGATCCCTTGGATGATGCTATGCAAACCCCTGAAGAGGATTTGTTGGCCAAGGCGATGTATACGTTTCTCGTACAGTACTGTCCGGAGCCTACGATGAATGTAGTAGGTCAGGGACTGCACACAGCAAATGGATTTGAGGTTTGGCGCAGACTGGTCAGACTGTCTGAGCCATCGTACAGAACCAAGGCATGGGTTTGGAGAAGACATTTGAGTAACCCCAATTTCCCAAAAGACATGAACAATTGGAGCACTGCACTCCATCAGTGGGAATCAGAACTAAGGGAGTTTGAACGAACCTCCAAGAGTGTTTTCTCAGAAGAGGAAAAGGTCTCGATCTTAGCGCATGTAGCACCTCCAGAGCTTCAGCAAAGCATCTTTATGCACAGCGACGCGTTGGGCACTTACGCGAAGATTCGAGACTACATCGAGCAGTACCTCATCAACAAGAACGTTTGGAAGAGACCGCAAGGATCCCAGTTTGGAATCACTAAGGCGGCAAACAAGGTTGATGACGGAGGACCGGCACCCATGGACATCGGTGCGGTCAAAGGAAAAGGAAAAGATGACAAAGGAAAAGGAAAGAGCAAACACAAAGGTTCTTGGAACAACGACAAAGGCAGCAAAGGTGGAGCAAAAGGCAAAGGTAAAGAAGACAAAGGAAAAGGAAAAGGACACGAAAACAAAGGTACAGGTAAAGGAAAAGGTGATGGAAAGCAAGGTGGCAAAGGAAGTCAGGTGAATAATCCTGATGCCGGAAAGAAATGTCACGTATGCCAGAAGTACGGACATGTCGCAAAGAACTGTTGGTGGAAGGTATCATCTGTGGATGAAACCACAACCACCACGGGAAATACCGCCAACAAGACCGAAGGCAACAACAACCAAACGAAACAGAACCCAAACAGTGGAAACGGAGTTGGATCGGTTTCAAACATCAATTTTGGTGAACATGACCGATACTGTTTCACTGTCAGGGATGCTCAGGTCAGTGCATTGTCTGAGAGCGATGAATTCAGATATCTTTTGGTTGACTCAGGAGCATGTGAAAACGTTGCCAAGTATGGGGATTTTGTTGGACCGGTTGATTCCACAAAAGGAAAACCTTTATTTGGTGTTCAAGGGAACCCACTCAAAATATATGGAAAGCAATCTCCCAAAATTGAAGTCGGGAACTTAAAAGGACTGATGGACATGACTGTAACTGACTCAGCGGAGAGTTTGCTGTCAGTTTTCAACATGGTAGAAAAAGGTCATGCCGTGCATTTTGAAAAGAACAATTGTTATTTGGTCACGAACCAGAATGAAATGATTCCATTGGAATTGCATGGAAAGAGATGGTATTTGAAAGTGAAACATGATCAACAAAGTTCGTCAAGTTCAGGAAACGGAAATTTGAGAACACAAAGAACAGCACCAGTCAAAGGAGTCAGGTTTGAAGAAGAAAAGGAACCTGATACCTGGAGAATGGAGACCAATGAGGAAGGAGAATTCGTGGTTCGTGTGCACAACACAGCACGATTCCAACTATTCAGCCCAGAGCGAATGGCTGATCTTCCTGTTCCAATCAACCGACTACTACCTGGTCGACTTACCAAGATCTATTTCTCCGAAGATGGATCGCATGTGGAAGACCAGAGTTTGTGGACAAGAAAACAGACATCTGCCAAGAACATGGGCAGAGAATGGCTGGGAGAATCGTGGTTTAGATTGAAACCAGAGACTGAAATTCCTGAAAAGAAGGATGCAGAGATTGAAGAAGCAAAGAAAGTTGAAGGAGTACGTGACCCAGACCAAGACATGGATGAATTCTTTTTGGATTGGGTGTACGTAGAAGATCGAGTACAACCAGATCCAATTGATCAAGACCAAGCCGAACGTGAAGTGTTTCGAGAGCAAAGACAGCTTGACGAAGAAGAAGAAGTGAAAGAACAAGCACAGGAGGTAGATGTACCAAAGGCACCGAGTGCACAACAGCGTGAGGAGCACAGACTTCATCATGCAAATTTCGAACCTTGGTGTGAAACTTGCATCAAAGGACAAGGACGAGATGCACACCACAGAAGAAGTAAGGAAGACAAGAAAGAACACATCATCTACTCCGACTACATGTTCTTCAGTGTGGATGGTGAGATGGTGAATAGAAGTGAAGGAAAGAAGCAGAAAGGACTGATCACAGTGCTGACGGCAATTTGCAAGGACAGTCAGTATCCCTTCGCCATGGTGGTCCCATCAAAAGGAGGAGAGTACTACTCAAGGGATGCGTTGGCAGCTTGGATCAGAGATCTGGGATGGAACAAAGTGACAATACAAATAGATCAGGAAAATTCCATGAACAAGTTGTTTGACAGAGTGAGGGATCTCATGCCGGAAAGAGTAGAGATTCGGAAATCACCACGGTATAGCTCACAGTCTCTTGCAGATGGAGAAATGGTGAATGGACTGATAGCTGGAAAGATTCGCACATGGCTGTGTGAGTTGTCTGAAAGCTATGCAACGAAAATTGGAACCGAGCACTACGTGTTCCCATGGATCGTGCGTCACAGCGCATGGACTTTGGCAAGGTTTCATGTCAACAAGAGCAAGACCACAGCGTTTCGTGTGATAAAGGGCAGAGACTACGTGGGTGAGTTGATACCATTTGGAGAGACAGTGATGGGAAAATTTCCAAAGGTGAAAGACAAATCTGCACCTCGATGGACAAAAGGAATCTATGCAGGAAAGAAAGAAAATTCAGATGAGCACATGATGTTGACAAGTGCCGGAGCTATTAGTTTCAGAACAGTCCGAAGATTGCCAGTTGGATCACAGTTCCAAGATGCTGTGATGGAAGTTGCGAGAGGAGTCCCATGGAATACAGTGTTGGGAATCGAGAAAGCAAAGCCGGAGGCAATCTCATCGGAGGTGAAAGCAATTGTGGCACCAGAAATCGAAGGACAGGAAACCTATGATTTCGAGGACAAATCGAAACAAGACAACGAGCCGATCTTTGATGACAGACCAGAAGCAATGGCGAAAGCCAAGGTGGTTCACATACCACAACCTATTGTACCACCATTGCGGAATGCACCAAGATCAGCTCCAAGTACACCGAAAGGAGGGAAAGCACAGAAGAGCACAAAGAAGGAAGACAAAGCACCAGAGATGCAGGTGGACGATGAAGGAGAGAGGATCGAGATTGAAGAAAAGGATTCCAAGAAGCCACGACTGGCAGAGGGTACAACCTCTAGTGCCGTACCGGGCGACACCGGAATGAATCCAGGACAACCTGAACTGTACCGCATAGACACACCAACAGATGACAACATGAGTGCAGCGGGCACAGCATCTCAGGACATGGTTTCTGGAGTCAGTAACGGTGAAGTTCCAGATGCGGAAGAAATGAGGAAGAAATACCATATGCCAGTAAACAAGGACCATGTATGGTTTCAGAAGTGGCTAGATGAGAGAAAGGAGTACTTCCAGAGTGAAATGGTGGCAAACATCATGGACTACCTGGACCAAATTGGAGCAGCAGAAGAAGAACAAAAGAAAGCTCGAAAGACGGAGATCAAGAAGCTGAACGAGGACTTTGGAGCATTTACACCGAGAGACGGAAGATTGATTCCAAAGGAAATAACAGTGTTTGGTCATAAATGGGTAGACAAGGTTAGTGAAGGAATTGCAAAGTCTAGGTTGACATGTCAGGATTTCAAACGAAAAGGACAAGACAGTGACAGAAACACGTCGGAAGCACCAAGCAATTTTTGTCCGACACCACATGGATGTTCCAGAAAATTGTTAGAGGTCTACAGTATGGCAACAGGACTACCACGAGTGAAAGCAGATCTCACATCAGCGTTTCTGATTGCCAATGACCAAGGTGACAAGACAGGACAACCTGTGATGATGAAACCACCTAAGGAATGGCTGGAAGACTACGACGATTGGTATTTGTTGCAGCCCAAGGAAGTTCAAGAAGAACTCAAGGACGTTCCTAAGGAACATATCCTGTGGCAAGTGGATGGCAACTTGTACGGACGTCAGTCAGCAGCAGCACAGTACAGAGACAGGTTAGAAGAAATAATCACTAAAGAGTTACCACCAGAACAATATGAGTTTCAGCGAGGAGCAATCGATGGATGTGTGTACAAATGTGAGAAAACAGGAACAGTGCTGATTCATCACATAGATGATTTCGACATTTGTGGACCCGAGAAAGTTTTGAATGATTTGCTGATGATTCAATTTCCAAAGAGCGGTTGCAAGCTGAAAATGGGAGAGATGGAATACCCGTTTGTAGGAAGTAAAACAACTTCAGAATTTCTTGGAAGGACCAAGATCAATGTCGAAGAAGCCGTGATCACGAAACCAAACGCGAAACATGTAGAGGTGATACTGAAACAACTGGGTTTGGAAAATGCCAAGCCTGGACCAGTGCCAGGAAAGAAACTTGACCTGACACAGGACAAATTGTTGGACGAGAAACAGAAAGCGATATATGCCAGTTGTGTGGGAAGCGCAATTTACTTATCTCAGGACAGACCAGACATAAAGTTCAGTACCAAGGAATTGGCAAAACGCATTCGGGAACCAAGGGAATGCGACATGGCCAACCTGAAGGTCCTGGGAAGGTATCTTCGAGGAACCACGAACTATGGGCATGTGACAAAGTTGACAGAGGGGATCGACATCCGAGAAGGAATCCCGATGCACTGCTACTGTGACAGTGACTGGGCAGGAGACCAAGAAAGCAGACGTTCCACAAGCGGTGAAGCGATTTTCGTAGGAGGAACACTCGTCGAATCGTCATCACACACACAACCAGGAACGCCGGCGACAAGCTCAGGGGAAGCTGAAATAAGGTCCCTGACGCACTGTGCTCAGACTGCAGTATTTGTGCGAAACTTAGCTGAAAAGGATTTTGGAATGAAACTGGACACACCGAGGATTTGGTGTGACTCGTCAGCAGCCATACAAGCTGGAAAGAAAATAGGTGTAGGAAAGATGAGACACATAGCAGTAGGACACCTTTACATACAAGAGTTGGTGAAAACAAAACAAGTGATCATAGGTAAAATCGACGGAACAAAGAACCCCGCAGACATCCTCACAAAACACCTTGCGACAGGTGAACTGGTACGAAACGGATGCGAGTTGATAGGACTCGTGGACCTGACTGAGGATGGACTGGACAAACACGTGTCGAAAACAAACATGAGAACAAGAGGTTCCGTGAACGAAAACGAAAACAAACGATGGAAACCGCAAACCGGCTCAAAGCTTAGCGTTCGACAACACGCTTCCGGGGTGAAACGAAATGGAAACCTTGGGGGACACACCTGTGTTGTGGGGTGGCAAAGCCATCATGCCGGGAAACACCAGGATTGAAACGTTAATGCTGTTGTTTCTCATCAGCTTGACTTTCAACCTAGTGAGTGTTTGCGTAGGAGGGACGGCACTTTGCTGTCTGTACAGAGACATAGTACTGTGGCCATGCAAAAGCAAGAAGAAGGCCAAGTACGAGGTGTACTACCTCACAAAGTATGGAGAAAGAGTGCACTCGACGGACCAATGTCCTACGTTGAGTAATAGCACAGATGTGAAGAAATTTAAACCGTGTACAAAGTGTTTCAATGTGGTCTTAGGACCGAAAGATGCGTAACCGAGCCCAATACGCAAGATACGCAAGATACGCAATGCAGAACGTACAGAAAATAATTCAAATGAAGTTGCACTGTAAGGCGCCATATTTTAAGGAGGGTGCAAGCAAAATACGCACCATATGCTAGGTTTGGCTGCCTGTATGACTTGTGGTAAAACATGTCACCACAGTGCATGCATGTGTACTCCGCAGCCCTGTTCGAAGTGGCACAAAACAGTGAGTCCGCTTTTCGCATTTATTCTGGTTGGTTGATGAATATATCCCTCCTTGCGACCTCACTGGCCGACGTCACCACAAATGATGAGGATCGCATGATCTTTAAGGGGCAGTGCCCACATTTATTTTTTGAGGTTGGTGCATTGTTAGAATGCCAGAATTGATGGTTTTTGTCTCATACATGGCCAGTCCCAGCAGAAAATATGAGATGACAGCATCAGGTTAGAAGTCCACCATGCATGTGCCACATATGGAGTTGTGACAAGACGGCCTTCCATTTGTCACCAAAATTCAGTGGTTTGTCGCAGTTTGTCCTGTTACAATGTCATGAATTGGATGGCTCCGTAGCCCATTTTATATGTTCAGACGCACCTGAATATCAGAGTGTTGGCTACATATCCCATTATATCCAATTATATCCCATGAATTCCAAGCATATATCCCATCATAGTCGGTGATATTCACCGTTATATCCCCATGTTGTTGGTGAAATTGTCAATGTTATTCAGAATGCCAATTCACCAACAAAATCACATTAGTGTGAGGCCCCCCAGTTATGTTTGTTGGTTTATAAGCCCCAGTAACTATAGTTATAAGTACCATAAACCACCATAGTTATTGGAGTTATAAACCAACTTAGCTAACGAACTGGGGCCTCACCTTGCATATGTTCATTAAATATACTCCCAGTGATATCACTGCATAACGCCAGGAGCATTTCGACGATCGCCTCTGGAACAATGCCGCGTCGCAAGAGGCCCGGCGTTCAGAACCACTTTTTGTTTGAACAGATCTTACCTTAGGATATGATTTATCACTGGTTGGTGGTTTGGAACATGTTTTGTTTTCCATATATTGGGAATAATACACCCAACTGACTAATATTGAAAGAGAAGATTCATGCTCAGATTGGATATACCATCTGGTAAACTAACGTAACTATGGAAAGATCCACCATTTTTGATGGGTAAATCCACTCTTTCTATGGCCATTTTCAATAGCAAACTGTTGGTTTACCAGAGGGTATCATTATTTATCATGGTCTATATGGTGGTATATAATGAAATCTATTTTAGATATAGTAGGATATCAGGATGAAATACCCTCTGGTAATTTAACATAGCTATTGAAAATGGCCATTTATAGTGGATTTTCCCATTAAAAATGGTGAATTTCCATAGTTATGTTAGTTTATCGAGGGTACCTTGACTCAGATCGGTCTCGGACCAGATCGGACGCCCATTTTTTGTCTCCTCGGGACCTGGTCACAGCTACAGCTGCGATCCGTGCCCCGTGTGCTGCGAGAAGACGTTCCGATCGAAGTGAGGCAGTCGACAAGGAAGATGCCGGCTGCTTGTACAAGGTGGTACCCCCCCAGTTATGTGAACGTTGGTTTATAAACCATATAGGAATAGTATAGATATATCTACCAACCATAGTTATTGGAGTTATTTGCACCAACTTAGCTAACGAACTGGGGCACCACCTTGTACAGGAGGTCGAAGGGAGCAGGTGGCCGACAAAAGAATTAGAAGCGGCCGAGGAGTTGGATGTCATCACCGCCAGAAGAAGACCATCAAGCTTGGTGGTGAGGGATATTGATGGTTATCATGGGGTACATAATGGTAAAGAGTATCTACTATGGGACTATGGGATATTATCGATAGCTAATTTATGGGATATAATGAGAATTTACAGGATCTATATAATTCCTATGGTTTCAAGTGCCTTCTGAGGAAGTATTTGGGGGTTGATTTAAGGGGTTAAGTAACTTCTCAGGAGGTGTTTGGATCTATAGGGATGTTCACACAGAATCCAAATAACCCGTCATAATGGGGATGCGATAGGGATATAAAAGATGTTCGCTGCAACCCCTAGGTTTGCCCGGGGCCAATCCCGCATATCTTTTGACATGCTCAAATCCCTGCGCAGGGTTTAAGTTTCTACTTTCCAAAACAACAAACACCAAAACCCTAAAACCCTAAAACCCTAAAACCCTAAACCCTAAACCCTAAATCAAAACCCTAAATCCTGAAAACTTAAAGTCAAAATCACTGCATATAGCCAGTGTTTTCATTCATCCTTTGGTAATAAGTATATCATATTGTTGGGATGTGTTGCTTGAGTGTGGGCGAACCAGGGGGTTGCGGGGAAGAGGTTCTACTGATATAAAAGAAAAACATTGGGAGATTACCAACCACTAGTTAGGAGTTATTGCATCATGGGATCCACAATGAGATTTAATGGAATATAGATACCCATGGAATATAGATACCCGATATCCATTAATGGGGTATAATGGGATACCTGGTTCAAGTCCTTGGAATACTGATTGTTTGGATCCATAGAATATCTTATATTTTTGCAGAATACTTGAAACGAATAGGAACTAATTAAAGATTCAATTCCTAGCTTGGGGTTGAGCATCGACCACGACATCCCCATAAATCATACTGTTGTTGGCTTCACATCCCATTTACTAACCGTATCATTTAGTAACCGTATTTGGGTTATAGTTATATCTCATTTTGACGATGCATACTATTCGTCCAAAAATGTTGGATGCCCGAACTGTTCAAACTGCCATTCTAGTTTCAATGGGAAACTTATGATATAGAACATGAGCTTTTTCAAGACAATACCATCATGAAATGGTTTGTACGGTTTGTATGGTCATGGGTCAAAATTGGGTTCCAGTTTTTTTTCGTTCAATCCGAAAACATGACCGGTGATTTTTGTGCATTCAAGGCTGACCCATAGCCATATCTCCAGTATTTTTCGTTCAATCCGCATTACACCCCATTGAATCCCCATATGTTTTGTTATATCCCAATTGTGTCCCCGGAATATCTCATTGCTGTTGGTAAACACGTAAACACCCTGCATTATAAATCAACATAGATGCTGAAAACCACCATGAACGTAGACCATAGATGCTTAATGATCCACCATTTCTAGATCATTTTTCCCAGGGAACGGACGGATTTTCATGTCTTTGATCTACCAAAGGAAATTGATATTCCAATCTCCCAATGATTTTGTTAATTGGTAAATTATAATTGAATTACTCCAACTCACCATGCATTCCGTATATGCGAAGAGGTTGGAATATCAATGTAATATCATGGTTGCTATATCCAAAAAACCATGACGCCATGACATTACTCCAACTTACCATTGGTTTATCAATGTCACAAACCAATGGGCTTCCATCCCATAGTATGGGTATACCATCCCCATATACTCCAATTCATACCAGACCCAGAAATGGGATATACCCCAAGCGCGAAGAGGTTGGAATATCAATGTAATATCGTGGTTGGTATGTATTGGTATATCCCAATCATCCCAACTGACGAACATATTTTTCAGAGGGGTAGGGAAACCACCAAGCAGATTGGTTTATCAATGTCATACAAGGTGGTGCCCCAGTTCGTTAGCTAAGTTGGTGCAAATAACTCCAATAACTATGGTTTATGGTAGATATATTGACATACTATTCCTATGGTTTATAAACCAACGTTCACATCACTGGGGGGGTACCACCTTGTAGGGATATTTATGATATAATCAGTGTTGTTCCAACCAACAATGGGATTGAAACCACCAACTTACCATTGGTTTATCAATGTCATACAAGGTGGTGCCCCAGTTCGTGAGCTAAGTTGGTGCAAATAACTCCAATAGCTATGGTTTATGGTAGATATATTGACATACTATTCCTATGGTTTATAAACCAACGTTCACATAACTGGGGGGGTACCACCTTGTAGGGATATAATATGATATAATCAGTGTTGTTCCAACCAACAATGGGATTGAAACCACCAACTTACCATTGGTTTATCAATGTCATACAAGGTGGTGCCCCAGTTCGTTAGCTAAGTTGGTGCAAACATAATTGGGGGGTACCACCTTGTATCAATGTCATAAACCTACCGTTTCCAAGGATGGTTGGAATTGCCGTCAAAATGCTGATGACTTGGTGACTCGGTGACTGCACAGGAGTTGCACAGCGCGCTGGCACCTCGAAGGCCTTTGTCAAATGGGGGGGGGCGATGCGAACGAACTGGAAGCCATGGCTCATTGATGGATTTTATAGGTGATTTACCCCATCAAACATGGTGATTTTCCATCGTTTTTTGTATGTTTACTGGGTAGAACTTGGAGAAAAACATAGGTCGTTTGCCATGAACTTTTTCGGTTTGCTGGTTCGGATCACCTTTTGGAAAGTCCCCAAAGGTAGTGGACCTCAATGAACACAGCTGAGTTCAGTGGCCACTTTTGGGTTTCCCAAGGCCCAAAAATATCATGTAAAAAACGGGTGGAAACGATGATTACCATGGGATTCTGTAGGATGAATGGGATTTCTACCATGGATTTCTACCCAATTTCCAGATACAATGTGAGGCCCCCAAGATATAAGCTGGTTTATAAGCCTCAGTAACTATAGTTATAAAATGTTATAAATACCATAAACCATAGTTATTGGAGTTATAAACCAACTTAGCTATCGAACGGGGGCCTCACATTGTATCTCCACCAGTTTTCATCGGGTCAGGAGTTCCACTTTGAGACCCATCAGTTCGACCGCCGACTTGGCGCATCAGATGCAGGTCAGGGCGGGGCTGCAGTTGTGGCCATGGCTACCAGTTACAACTGGTTATTTCTATGGGATGAGAAACATTCTATAAATGGTGTTTTCTTAGTACTTGTAACTGATAAATGGCCATAGCTGTGGGGGATGTGGGTTGTTAATCTGGGGATCAAGACGGGTCCAACATCCCATGGAACCGTGATTTCATCTTGATTCATTTCATTTTTTGGGCTGTGGATCCGATGATTTTTGGTAGGTGGATCACTGGGTGCCAGACACATGTAGCTGGGAGTCTAATTGAATCGGATGATGGCTGGGGTTGCGACCAACAATTTTTCTTTGCTAGTGTGAGTTAGGTTGTAGCCACCGGATATGTCAACATGTGTCAACGAAGGTGGAGATTGCCTCAATGTGATTGAAAGTTCAGATTTGTGATGGTTCAAAAATGATATCCATCCCCACATTCGATGTTTTGTCGGGGAAAAAACGTCTTTAAGTTACATCAACTGGCGTATGCTGGTAAAACATGAAAATGGTGTCTTCAACATGCCATTCTCAGTGGCCATGGTCATGGATGTTTCTGAGTCTCGCAAAATGGTAAGTGAATCATAGTAAATCTATGACATATATGACATGTTTGTTGGTTAATAGCTATCTATGTGGTGCATAACCAACAACCATCACTGGAGGCACTTTGTGACTGCGCCTTGGTTACCATCCTAAACTCAACGGCCATTTTTTCAGGGAACCGATTCATGGGAGGTACCCCCAGAACATGGCCTGAAAAATGGTACTAACGTACCTCCATCTGTTGGATCCTGGAATGACCATTGATGGCAATTGTCATAGGAAAAAAATGATTTGATAAACCCATGGATTTTTTGGGGGGTAAAGAGCTGAAAATCAAACACCCAAAAGCACCGTTCCTTTCATGTCTTGTTTTTCCAAGTTTTTATAGTTTTCCTCGACATTTTCTGAAAATTCTTCGCACCAAATCAAGTATTGGGCAATTTGTAGAAACCAATACAGTCAATACATATATGTTTGCGAATATTTTCTTGTTTCAATTCTGGAATTCACATGATTTCACGATATATCTTCCCTCCAACAACCCCCGGGGACTTTGTCAGGTGTTGGACATCGACGACGACGCTGAGTTCTTGACGCAGCCGGTGAGCGAAAGCCGGGCGCAGGAGATCATGAAGGCAGTGATGACAGTGGGCAGTGAGGGGTATCACAAGGTGGCCAGTGAAATGTTATATATATATAATTATATAGACATATTATATGTGTATAACATAACATAATATGTATATATATATATACATACAACATAATATGTATAACACAATATATATATAACACGATAACCACATAAATAATTGATGTGTACACCGTCTCTATACATACACATTATAATTATATGTCTTATATGATTTTTTGATAAACTAACATTTGTTGAAACAAACAAGTATCATTGTAGTATTCGACACCTCACACCTCCAGGGAATTTCTTGGTATAGCTCTTATTATCGCAGAACGATGATAATGAGGGGGATATACAATGGGAACACATATAGTACATCAACTTTATTTTGGGCACTCTATCCTAATGGTTGTAGAATGGGATATCATATTTGCGGGAAACATTATTAGGATATCACTATTATAACATGGTACATAAAATAGGTATGTATGAAATGCTAGTCAAATGAGGGTACAACACCAATGGTTATTCTCGGGTGCCACTGGTATGCAGAAATTATAATCAAGATTAAACTAATGGGGATACATGGAATGTGAAATGGCTCACATACATCTATCCCATTGTTTTACATATGTCCCATTGCTATAGTCATCCATATATCCCCTTGTTATGCATATAACTAATATGGAATAGTGGGTAGTTAAGCCCAGCCATTGCTTCACTGGCATGATTTTTGGCGAAAATATCAGTGGCAAGGGTTTGCAATCATCCAACTTTGAACCACTCGGATGGTGTTAAATGCCTTTTTGTAGTCTGATGGTAGACGCAAAATACCATGTGATAATCTACAGTTATCAAAAACTCCCCATTCATATATTAAAAAAATAAGCTATTAAACATTGTGATTCTCTGTAGCTATGTGAAAATTGACCGGAGGGTTTTTTTCATGGGATTTTTGCCGGTGATCGATCGGATCGACCGGCCCTTCCCATCAGGCAGTAGCTGAATCCTTGCCATACCTCAGTGATCATATGGACGTCAGAGCTCTCAGTGGCTGCATTCAAGTGCCGGTTGATGATGAGTTTGCCATGAAAGATGGGTTGGATTCTAATCATCAAACTATTGGGATATTAGAGATGATATAAAATTTAAATGGATAGATCTGAGAATAACAATGGCTGGTTGTTAGTGTGGGGAAAAACTACGAACCAAGAGGTGGTTTGGAACATGTTTTATATTTCCATATATTGGCAATTTCATCAACCGAACGGAATAATATGTTTCAGAGGTGTTGACACCACCAACGAGAATATGTGAAAATCAACTATATCAACTATATCCCAACTAATCATCAACCAATACATTTACCCTCTGGTAATTTAACATAGCTATTGAAAATGGCCATTTATAGTGAGTTTCCCATCAAAAATGGTGATTTTCCAATATTTTCCATAGCTATGTTGGTTTACCAGAGGGTATCAACTATATTAAATGTGATATTCCACATGAAAATTGGGCAATCTCACAATCCATCTGGATGTGGATCTCTCTATGGCCCAATCCAATTCTGCTGGTATACGGTATAGCCCATTTTCAAAGAGACCCGTGAGGACCAATGGTCCATGTGAGTTGGAACAATAACTAGGGACCTGCCAGCACATGGCCTGACTGATCAGGTTTTATTTTGAATGAGATAAAGTGGTAAAAATTGCACAATCACTTTACTGATACCGCAAACCAAAGTACCAAAGTTGGTGCAGAATCGTGACACTGTACGAAGCAGCATTGAGATAGTCCTGAGGAGTGGTCCGGGACACGCGTTGCATTTGTGGATGGTCTTCATTCCATTTCTTATTTACCGAAATGATTCTATGAATCGGTTACGAAATATGATGTAGTGTTCGATTCTATTGTCATAATTCAACAAACATATTAATAAAGTGTTCTTGTGCATTATATAGCACAATTCCACAAGAAATTCGATGACAATTGGTACTGGCCAACGAAAGACCAAGGTTCTACAATTCTACAAACAAACAATAATCATAATTCTGTCATCATAATTCTATTATCTTACACGGTGTATATATATATATGTGTGTATGGAGGTTTCCTGAAATGGGGGTACCCCTAATTCATCCATTCTATTTTCGGATGTTCCATGAAATCAACCATCCAGCTATTGAAAAATCCCCCATGACTATAGAAACCCCCATGGATAGACCGTATTCGATTGTACATCTTTATGTCATTGTATAGCCATTGATGATCTATTACGTTATAGCTATATTATAGCCATTGAGTATCTTAATATAGCTATGATAGCTATGATATCTATGATATAGCTATACCATCATATCTCCATTTTATGTGATGTTTCTTGGTTCATTTCACCAAGAGTTTCACAGCTCAGTTGTGGCTCTCAGGCCTCGGAGCTGCAACGAGACATCTCCCAGGCTCTGCGCGACGCGAGTTTGGTGACTTTGATGGCGTGCTAAGTCACTATAAAAATAAGGTTTGGGAAGGAAGTAAAATTAAATGTATCTATTTATTTTATTTATGTACGTATAAATATAATATGTTATATATGTACGGATACGTTTTATTAAATATATATATATTATTAATTATTATAGTTTTGTATATGTACAGTAATGTACATATAATTATATATATTCACATACTTGCAAATAAACACATATACAATCGTATACGCATAGATGTAATTCAAACAATGTAGATCCGATATAAACCCAACCTGTCCCACATCCTGAGGTTGAACCAGTGAGATTTCTGATGAAAAGCTAAGCCCTAGATGAACTTTCTCATGGCATTGCTGGCGAAAAAATAGCCCAAGCTTTGGCCTCGTTTTCTCTTGGTTTAAGCAGATAAACCAAATGTTCTACAGAACCATTCTAGCAGTAGCCAAAGAATTCTGGCTGCTTGTTTGCTCGGAAATCAGACTACAACTTACCCTTTGATGATTTAACAGTTTGCTATGGAAAACGGGCCATTGACAATTGATGCATGATGTTTGATGATTTACCTACTGAAATGGTCACTTTCCATAGGTTAAATTACCAGAGGGTATAGCATGTCAATTCTGCAGGAAGACCAAAATCAACCTTAACCAGCCGTTGGAAAGGAAGTCCTGCAAGCTTTGGACAAACGACTGACTGTCTTCAAACGATTTCATCACAAATGATGGTCAATAATGAAGATCAGTATACTTCATACATGCACACATACAGTATACATATATTTGGGACAAATCATCCATCTGATGGCTTTCAATTGGCTGTGGGATTGCTTCAAAATCAATCGCGGTTCCAGGCGAGACAGCGTTTGCAGGAACGAAGTCATATGACCCGAGGTCGATGCCCTGTTGGGTGTTGCCATCTTTGGGAGATCTTGGGCCATATCATAGATTATATAGATGTTTATTATAGCCATAGATCTCATTCTATCTCATATATATATACCTAGAGAATCCAATACCTGCAATTTTTTGGGTATACCAAAAAAAGCAGTTTAAAAAAAAAAAAAAAACGCTTTTTGCATAATCATCTATAATCAAATTAGGCATTATGCAGGCAAATGGATTCTCCAGGACACATGGCATGTACACAACACATAAAACACGTGCATCCAATGCATATCAACACATCATGCACCAACAAGAAGTTGCATCAACCCAGCGTCACTTCACAAACGCACAACATCTTTTATCCCAGCAAATTTGCCTTTGAAAACACAGAGTATGCGGATACTAAATAACGCTGCATCGTGCGCTGCATCACCATGCGCACATTGACTCTGCGGCTCAGCCGCGCAGCACGGCCTATCGTATCTTCGTCACATTGGCATCCGTAGACCATCGGGTTGATGCTCATATTGTGTTGATCAGAATTGGTCTTGATTGTTACCATTTGTTCGTGAAAGGAATGAGTCTTTGGATACAACGGAAATAACCACGGTCTGTCTTCGCGGAAAAGCGATTGTGCCAAAGCTTCGTACGCTTTCAGGAAAGCAAGCCCTCTCTGGAAAACATATTCGCATTCCTCTTTTGTCATGAAAACGTCGGCCCGATAAAGGCAAGAAAACAATTCGTTCATCCATGTTGTTGCCTTTTGACATAGCTCCAAGCGATTCCTGTGGTCCCGAGGTAAACTGGACAATAGCTCCACCAAAAATAACATAAAATTCGTTGTAAGCATGCCCTTTGACCAATTTCCCATAGCGCCCGTTCTGTCATGATATGACATTAGGTATGGAGTGATGGAACTGACATGTGATTGTTTGTGGTTTCGTCGGCACCAACCCCTGTATCGATCCGTCAGGTAATCCCATTTTGCCTCAAGATTGGGGCATGGCAAAACTTCCAAAGTAAGGGCAATCACGGAAGCAATCCATGAACGTCCAAAACCTAGGTGAACAATGTGCCATATGTCTGTCTGGAAGTACGTTGATGGATCTGTATTGTCGTGAACCAAATGTTTAATCACTGCAGGTGTCACGGTCCAAGGAAGTCGAACCCCTTGTGTTTGTAACCATCTCGGATTGACAGTCCCAATCTCCTCAGCAGGAAAACCGATGCATCCTGCAAGGCATCTGTGGCACACACCTTTTGGCACAGTGCGCTCATCCCCTCGTTTTACTGTGGTGTTGTAGGACCTGTAGAATCGACCCATCTTCACCAAATATGGAGCGTCACCTTTCACAGCAATGACTGCCACCCGGTACGTTTTGTTGGTCATTGGGTCAACAACCCCATCAAACAGCAAACTTCGAAGGGACAGAGCAAATTCCTCCATAACACCATGGAAAATCTCGGGATCATCCTCGTAGATAGTCTTGGGTAAAGCAGAAGATATAAAGCGATGGGTAAAGCTGTGTCCAGCATAGTTGACCTTCAATGGCAAAGCGCCCTGATTAACCATGCCAACTCGTTTTGTGTCGTAGCCAGAGCCTAGTGCTGATTGCAAGGATGTCACCATAATTGCACTACGTTTCAAAGTTCTGCCTTCATCTCCATGGACTAGGAACGCAGCGCAACAACTCAGATCAACATTTGGAATATCAAACAACCCAAAATGAGGATGTAAATTTTGATAGCGTCTCCAAAATTCAGACCACATCGATCCAGCAGCGTCATACTGACTCCGTGCAACCCCGGCCAAGTGTGTCCACAACCCATTCTTCACCAGCCATGCAAACCAATTGCGCGGCGATATCCAAGGAATATCTAAGCCTTTGATGTTCAAGTGAGAAAGTGGAACATTCAATGCTGTCCCTTGTTTCCTTATCACTTTGTGCACATCCCGCTCAGAGTTGGGCTCTGTACATGCAGACCACAGCCCCACGCCACACCTGGCCGCTGCGGCCTCACCCATATCCTCTGTGATCGCTTGCGCTGTCAAAATTTGACTCTTGCAACTCGCCTCAGTCGGATGGCAGGATTTTAGGTTTTTTCTGCATTTTTCTACAACATTTACGCGGAACCCCTTTCTTTAAAAAAAAAAGGACTGTTGCAGCTAGATTTGCGTTCATTCTTTTGAATCTCATAATCTTCACATTCGCAACAAGCACTTGCACGCCCGCAAAGCACACACATGCGTTTTTTTGTTCCTTTCTTGCGCTCCACAAGTGTCAGCGTTTAAACGCGTGCACGCAGAACTTGAATTGTCAGCCTGCAAAGTGAATAGATACAACATGGTACAATTAAATTAATCTTTGAATTTGCGCGCCCACTGGCACAAGGAATTTCCAGCGCACTGTGTGATACAGCAATCATATTTTCAGATCACACAACTTTACATGGCCAAATTTTTTCTTGGCCGTTTGGACGGCGGGAACCGGTAGGACTTGAAAACTACATAGGTAAAAAATGGTCCTTCATCCTCACCATTCTCACCAGTAGTTTGGCACGTGTCGCCACCAGACCTGATGTTCTTGCATCCCTTCAAGCCTCAGTGGGCAGGGAAGCCAGGAATGAAGAGAAACTTGAAGAAAACACATAATATACAAACACAAACCAATGCCACATACATCATACATGCATGTTATATACGCATATGCACGCACACACAGTACTACATGTTTCAAAAGTAAGTCATATAACTTGAAACATATATAATATAAAACAAATAAACATACATATCAATAGTGTAACATAAAATTCACATATAATCTAAAATGTACCTGTTGCCGTAAAGTAGCCACCAAAGAGTTGAATGAGGCTAGCTTCTACAAAAGCTGGTCCGTCACGAAATGGTGAGGCATAAAGTAAATGCATATGGGAGAAGGGATCAGCTGAATATTTGTAGCCGAACTTGGGGTTGTACCATCTGAATGATGGACAGTGGGTGAAGCCGAACTTAAATGTCATGGGCTCATTGTCCGATAAGATCTGTTTGAACTTGGACACTGTGTGGTTCAACACTTGTCCAGGATTTGCACCAGGCTTGGGAAGAGCATATGAAAAAATAGGGTCATCATCGATGGTCGAAAACACATTAGGCGACCGTGGTAAGTGTCTAAGTTCTTCGTGGTGCAAGTACCCTGCCCCCCCACGGGAGACAACTTTCAAAGACGTTTTCCGGTTTTCCTGCGCCACATCCTCACGTACTGGGAGGGACGTGGTTGGATCAGCTTCATTGTCCTTCCTGGGTTTCCGATTGATGGAATGTTGCCACGCATATGGCCCAAGTGATGCCTTAGTTATGTTACAAAAAGGCACAGCAAAATATCATTACAATAAGTGTAGTTGTGACTACATTTTTGGGAAACCAAGTAGCAACTGTAGGTATTCTAAGAGATCACTGCCAAGAATCTGGTCGGTGGCAGCTAAGTAGTTCAATGAGTTCATCGTCCGATGATTCCATGGCAAATCCCTAAAGTCCCAGAGTCAAGCTAATAATGATTTAGCAATTGTCGAGTCAATCCCGCTATTGTAAACCAAAACAATTTAAACCAAAAAAAACTATGTGAATTTGTGGTATGTTTGATTTTGCATAAGTACAATGATCAATGGAAGTATAGTGTTTTTTGTTTTGCAGCTAAAGGTTCATACTTCTTCTCAAAATTCACATTATACTTCGATCCAGCCGATTGGTTGAGCCAGAAGGTCAAAAGTTTCAGCATTCACTTTGATCCTGCATAGTCACCCATCCCCCTGCGTCTCTTGGGCTATGACTCCATCGCCCACATTGGCTGCCAAGCGTTTGGCTGTGGCTCCAGCTGTACCTGGACTTGAACAGAGCTGGGCCTTTGGAACATAGTGTGATAAAGGGTTGGGGCAGTGGAAAGTAAAGATATTTTGTTGAACGAAACACTGCACAAGCTTTTCCTCGCTTGTTGCATCCGCTGCAGCTTTCAGATCGCAATCTAAGAACATCCTTGTAGCTTGTCCCAAGCGACCCCTTCATCTCCGCAGTGACAGTTGGAAACAAAACTAGTTGGGTACTCTTGGTTGGGGGAGTTAGCTACTTGCCAGTTGACCTACACTCCAATGAGTACTTGTTCAGGAGTATGCTTGGTGCCCAAAGGAACCCCGACCCACGAATTGTGATTGCGGGTAGTCCACGCAACCCATAGAATTGGAATTTCAGAAATATTTTACTACCACATCTCCTTTCAAAAGCTGTTTCACAGCGTTCAGGATTGAAACACAAATCATTTCTCAGCCTTTTCGACCTTCTTGAAGTGTCGCTTGTTGGCCCTCAGATCCCAACAAATTTGCAAATCCATTTGTCACATGGTTGGGGTGACATAGGAAACAAAAGTTAAGTATGATGTCGACACTGTGTTGTTGAAATCAAAATTCAACAAAAAAGATCAGTCAATGGCTCAGGCATCTACACCTGGCTTCCCATGGATATGACTGCCTCTAGCGAAGTTGGCACCAAGCATCCGAATCTTGGCTTCATTCTGCTGAACCTTCGTGCACCTGGAAAAGGTCTGAATTTCTGGTTTTTAAAAAGGTTTTGGAAATAGATACGATCCATGTAACCATGTGTCATGTCCTAATGTGAAAAGATTGGTCAAGGCACGTAAAGGTCGACTGTCTCATTTTCTTCTCGGCCTCCTTGGCCCACCTGAGTTTTACAATGTCATCAAAAAAAATGGTCATTGTTGGTAATATAGGGCCAACATTGAGTTGTTTTCGCTTTTTTTTACACTATCACTATGTCCAAGTAACTGTGGTGAGAAATCCTCTTGCTCCCCCTTGGCCATCCAATCGCCCAGGGTACTGTACTCGCTATCCAAGGTTTGCAGATCAGCCTCCAACGTCTTCACAGACCTGGGATCAGAGCAGTCGTGGGATCAAGCTTCTTGGCCCAATGATTCATCTAACCATCTTTCCCCCTTAGTTGGCTAGTTGATTATATGCAGATTGGATGCTTTTGGGCCGTGTCATCTTCTGGATAGTTCTTGATCAAATCAGAAATCAAAGTTCTGATCTTGGCGCTTTTTTGAAGCACAGAATCGACGAACTTGCGAAAGGTATCTTTCGCTCGCACAGCCTGAAGGCTTGCAAAAAAAAAACATACTGATGATTTTGCAAAATACTTGACAGCACTATTCGATAGAGAAAACATAGTAGTGACCCAAGATTCTATTGTAAAATGAACATCGTATATTGTGTATTGACAACGGTACTGTTGCTAGTGTTGCCAAAGATTATGTTTTTCCCAATGTTATTGATTTTCAATAAAACAATCAAATCTTGGCCACATTACGTATATAGTTTTACATTATATATACGAACCCATGTTCAAGAAACAACAGGTGAACTGGCAAGCACATATGATATGCCCCTAAAGTTGTGCATGCTACATGGTTGTGTGTAGGGGTATAAGTGCCTCGGAAGTCTCCGTCGCACGGACAGCTGACATAGCTTTGTTGCGGTCATCATTGGCATCCAAATGTGCCAGGGTGACATCGGCCAATTCCGATGTGTCACCCGTGTCCTGCGAGGCTTTATGGTTTGACTGCAGCTTGCTGGGGGTGCTGGCGCTGCAATGTTCCTCAATTTCCTCGATTTGTTTTGCCGAGTGCGACTTGGCTATAGATTTATGAAATGGCATTATGGGTCCTGGGTAATTTCCTTGGTGACCTCGGAATTGATTTTTTCCTGTTGATGATTCCCAGTCTCACGAACGCGGATGTAGTACTCATCGTCGCCTCCGTATTGGCATTTCCTGCGGAGAAGCAGTGATGATGTAAGTTCAACTCGCCCCCAAAAGGATCCGAAGCTCAAGTAATTTTGAGATAGAGGTGCCAAAAATCAAATTCCAATAAATGATGTATAAAGGTGTTATGTTTAGAATGTGGATGGCTCACTTCAAGGATGAATTTGGATATTTCTCCTCACCAAGTGCTTTTCGTCAGCCATGCAGACTTTGATGGCTCCCTCGATCTTCTTCCTTGGAAACATGAACTAGTGGTTCGTCTGGAATTGTCAGTTAGAAGACTTGCTCCTACAATATGTGTCTTCAAAATGAAAAAATATAATGAAACATGTTGACCAATATGTTGGTTCGAAAAAAATGTAGAATTTATAAATGTTCAACAGTACACTGTTTTAAACCAAGGAGCTTGCTCCATTTCAAGACTTTCGCCATGTCATCCTCCGAGTACCAACCAACGTTCAAGTCACGAGTGTGTTTGTCGTTCTTGGTGAATGACTTTTCCTTCAGCTTGATGAACTTCTCCTGTGAGGATGCTTTTGTGGCTACTATGCACGACGTTATGGTGTATGATATGTTACTTGGCATTCATGATTTCGAATGGATGTTGGGAAATGAATGCATCATATGGAAACAATGTCAAACCATCATCCATTGTATTGTGTATATATTAACAGTTGTTTTGACTCCCGAACAAAGATCCTTATCGAATCCACACCGTTGGTATTCAAGGGCCATAGACATGTGATCACCATTTTTCCACTGTTTGTGGAGCCACTCTGGCACCCCAATCTCGCCATTGGCTTTGGCACCACAAAGTCTCCGAAGCTTCGCTTTGAGCGCGTTCTCTTCCTCAGCTAAATGTCTACGTGTCAAGCTGAATTTTCTTATATTTCCAAATGTGATAAACCATTTGATTTAACCAACAAAAGTTGTAAAGGTTACCAATTTCAAAAATATATACTATGCAAGTCTGAAATCCATCTTGGCTTTCTTAGCTTGTTGAAGAACATCATCAAGTTCATCTGGCTGAGTCGGAAGAACTTCATTGGCTGGTCTTTTTTCCCCAGATTTATCCGGTGCATTCTCAGAACCCTTTTGAACTGGAGTCACCAAATTGGCTCGCTCACCTGTTCTCCTTGTCCCAGATCCCAATAGCTGCATGGCCATATCACCACTGATAGAACCATCCCACCACATCTTCATGATGCGGTCCTGCACCTGGGAATGTGGGTAGAGATGCCAGCGAATTGAAGTATATAATATACCTTAAAATTTGGTACCCGATATGTTGTAGATTATATTTTCAGATGACCCAAGTTCAGGAAAAAAACATATTTCAAATGTTTATGCCAAAGAACAGAATCATCTTTCTGTGAACCCAAAGACGTAACCGATGGCACTGGAGATGGTGGTGTGATCATGGAGATACCCTTCTGCGAATATCCATTCTCTGAACTCTCTGATGTAACCATCCTCCCAGCACTCTGCAACTCCTCTGGCGTAGCCGGCTGCGTATCAGCAGCTGCAATCGAAAGCAGTGGTTGATTCTGCGGAGTAGCCTAGGTCCGCTTGAGAACAGCTAAGATGGGAACTGCAGCTAACCCTTTGGAACCAGTGAACATGCCAATTAATTTACATTTTATCAAGTAGGTTGCCATACCTGATCATCCAATCACCCGAAAATGCAGTCGGGAAACGATGCGCTGCAAGTCTTCCAGCTCGTCCAAGGCTTGCCCCTTGGAGAAGTGTGATGTGCCGACATGAGATGCTTGGTGCTAGATGGGGTCACTGGATTGGACAGTGTGTGAGTCTATCTATATACTATGATATCTAATATTTGTATCATAGATGCATGATCCATGATGTGCCTGATCCAAAACAATTGGAACAACATCTTCCCACATATAGTACCAAGTAAACTAACCCTATCCATTGTCGACCCAAACCATTACCTTACACAATATGGTTTGGGTTGTGGCTTTCCCCCCAATAACATACCCAGTTTCCATAGGTGATATTCTGCAAAACCTGCACACCCGAATGTGAGTCCCAGACTGCAGCTTGCTTCGCTTCCATGTTGGCCAGCTCACGTTCGAGCTCCTGAGGTCCAGTTGGAAGCCAACCCATATAAGATCACCTTACATTGAAGACCACAGTACATATGCTGTATATTTGAGGCATTGGTTTTATAATAAGCAAATCTTATGACTTCAACACTCTTGCGAAATCGAAAAACAACAATCCCACAGGTAGATAAGATAACATCGGGATATATCATAATGAAGACTCCTCCAAATGAGCCATATCATCTGGAAGCTCGTTCTTGTCCAGCAAGATGTGTTCCAGCCCAGCAGACAGTTCAGCTGTTGACCAAGATCGGGAAACCATGGTATAGGCCGATTCTGATCGGGCTAAGGACATTAAATTACCTAAGCCTTCTTCAACCCTTTCGTATTGGAGCAAAAATTGCCTTACACATTATGCAGTTGCAGTTTTTCCACAATGCTCACACGCATGACATGTGCTGCTTATGTTGAGATATGACCATCCATGTCCTTTCCCAAAACCCGTGGATTCAAGATGTACTTTTTTCTTTTCCCACTGCATCCGTTCGGATCTTCAAACGGAAGCCAATTATGGGACACAACCCTTGGCACATGCATAAAATCTCGAATTTTTGTAAACATTATCTGTTCGAATCCAGCTTGGGTCAACAAATTGTTGATAAAATCTGATCTGAACTCAACAAAACCTAACTTGAACCATGATAAATCATCATAAAAATTAATCGAAAAAAAGCAGGTTTTTCCCAAAATACCCATAAAATTTTATGGGTAAATTACGCGAAATTATGGGTAAATTACGGAAAATTACGGTTGGAAAATTACGGTTGGAAATTACGGGTTATTATGCACAAAAAACCTGCTTTTTTCCATGAATTATGGGTAAATTACGGTAAATTACGGGTAATTACGCGATTACGCGAATTACGGGTATAAGTTGCTTAGATTTCAACAAAACCTATCTTGACCTGCAAAAACCCAAGCTGGTCCTCACAGTCTTTTGGGCAAAAGATCCCGGAAGTGGGGCGGAATTGCTAAATTCTTGCCGCCACGCAACCAGTGACAAACAGACTTAAGGTTTGATTCTTCCCACATGTCTGAAAAGTCGAGGGTTTGGAAGGTTTCGGCCGCAGTTGGCACTGTGTCAGGTAACTCAGGCATGCCATGCTTGTCGGTGATCATCTTGGCCCACAAATCCACCAAGCGCATGCCGAAACGAGCGGGATACACCCTTAGTGGAACCAAGGAATTGGACCTCATGACTTGTAAAGATGCTGTTCGAAAACATAGATGTATTTCCTTTTGTGAACTGAAGGAAAAAATAGTCCTGATTTGTATGAATGATGAACATATATACACATGTGGTGCCGACAGTATCTCATCTGCATATATGGGAAACGAGTTCATCTACATGAGCCATGTAACTATACATTGTTTTTTGCATGTTTTCTTTCTTAAGCAAGTCGTGGAAACACTATGCGAAACTCTGTGCTTCATGGTTGAAAAGAACTGTGATTTGAACAATTAAGTCCATGACTCTGAACTGCGCAATTTTGCACTTCCCTTGTAACGCCGCTTCCCTTTTTTGTCAACATATTTAGTAACAAGCTGGGCGTACTTTCCTTGTTTCTCAAGTTCTTTTTTCTTTTGGGCCCAATTTCGCAACTTTGACACCCACAGCCCTGCTATGTGCTTTGTGTTTGCCAGCATGTAGTGGCGTTTTGGGCTCAATCCTCCATAATGAAGCATCCACCACGTTGCTTTGTGAACCTGAGATGGTATGGACAGGTAATGTAGGATATCTGGTTTATTACATATGATGTTTTCCCGAGAGCAATAGTTAAATTAAGTGCAAATCAAATACCAATCAAACAATTTCCGAAAACAAGTTATTCTTGGGTTCTGGATGTGCAAGCAGTGGCAACTCCGCTCAGGAACATTGGCTGTTTGACTGCAAGACTGGATTGGTCTTTGACAATCTATTTGGCTACTGTGGCTTGGAACAAACACGATGAGAATTGGGAAGCTGGTGCTGGGGTAGAAATAACGATACCTTCCAATAGAAGAATTTTGAAACATATAGGTTCATAGAGGACAAGTAACACAATGCCTTCCACCGTGGTGCTGCAGCATCACCACCAAATCCCTCCATCTAGGGAAGAATTCAAACATCGACGAAATCGGCTGTTCCAGTGTTATGCATCCACCAAGGCAAACCACCATCATCATCAGTAATACCACCCTTGGCCAAATCATTCGATGTTTGATGGAAAATTGTTTATTCCGGGCATTATTTATGGAATATTCCTGATATGTAAACGATCATCATTTGAAAAATAATATATTTATATATGTGGATCTATAAACATTAATAAAACAATTCCTGATGAAGTCTTATCAAGAAACCGACTTGCAAGGCAATTAGCCTCCCTCACTGATGGAAAGTGTTGATTTCCGTATGGAGTACATGGTGTTCTCCCCGATGTTCCCTGATTTATTCCTGTGAATGAAGCACACTTCAACCCAAAATGAGATACAAATCCATTGACATGGTCGGCACGAAGAATTGTTGCCATAGCTGTCCTCAGACGGTGCAGGTCTCGAGGGGAACAACAAACCAAAAAGATATGGTAAACTCAAAAATAATGCTTAGGAAACAGTATTGTTAAGATTGTGGGATACCCATCGTTGTAGTTAATTTGGTGGGTTTGTTGCATTGTCTTACCCAAACAGAAAGTAATGGCTCATTGCCACCTAGCCACCCCATTCCAGCATCAGAACAAAGGTTCATGGGATTCTGCTTTCCATCAGATGTTGTCATATACAAGATATCTAGCCTGGCAGTATCATGTCCTGAATATTGGAACATTCGTGTTGCCTGTGCTTCTCCAGCGAAGAACTCAATCCATGTGAATGGGCCGCTGTCCTGATGGATGAAACCCCCAAAATCGGATATCATTTCCTAAATGTGGTACAAAGGTTGCATATTCAAACTGACAATATCTCAAAAGCAGATTTGATAAATTCTGATAAAGACTTTAGATAACTTTAGTCAAATTCAATGCTGTGCGCCTAAGGAGCACTAAAAACAATAAACCGCACGGTTCAGATTCCACAGACTGCCAACAGTTACTCAAATCTTGATGAATGATGCAAATGAGTCCTTCAATGCCGGTTCGATAGGAATGTCCGTCCAAAGCACCAGGAGCATAGCCAAGAGCATCACCTTGATTAAACATAAATTTGGAGTCAAAACAATGCAGAATCTAAATGAACAATAGTTTATTCCTGGGCCAGTACAACATTATGTTTTGTAATTCAATGAAACTAATTGCATGTTTCGTACCTTGGGTGCGCCCAGAGCTTTCATCCTCCAGCAAAGCGCATCCACAAAGTCACTGGAAAATGCCATGGTGACCCAAGCCGGTTTGCCTAACACCTTTTCGGGATTTATAATTTTCCCCAATAGAAAGATTCATTGACCCAACCACAAAGAAATAACTTTTGGTTGTGATAATATATTAGTTTGAGATATGATATTACTGTCATACTGTGCATGTTTTTTTTACAGCAACCCCTGAGGAACCAATGTTAAATGTCATCAGTTTCAGCTTGAGCCTTGATCTAAGGCATTGCGGATAGAATGTGGTCAACCAAAATAATTCATACCAGCCAAACTGGAATCCGGAAGATATGCAGTTGACCATGTATCCCCAACCAAATTGATTTTTTTTTGATTAACATCTCATAACCAGTGAATCATAACATCCCATATGAAACCTTTGTTCTTAATTTGTATATTTTTTGGAGGAATACCTTTGGTTTGACTCCAATCCCAGCACAGGAACTGAAAACCAACACCAGCATACCATATACCAATTTACAAGTTTATAAAGACATTAAATCTTACATAATGATTGCTATCACCACCACACTGCTCCCGGGCGCACGGTTGTCGTCATCTATCAACCCCCGCTTGGCTGCCCACTTGTTGCCACGCAACGGAGGCATTCGGGCCTCAGAGGAGCCGTTGCGAACGATTGCAGCTTGGTGGAATTCGATTGTTTTTTTTTGTGTTTTTTATGGTGCACATGAATGTGTCAAAGGTTCCCTATACTCTATTACAAGAACCACGTGTGAAATGTTCAAAGCGATTGAACAATCAAAACACTTTAACTGCCAGGACTGATTGGCCAATGTCAACAAATCGGAATTCAACTGGCGCCCTTGGAGCAATTTATTTTTCCCCCAAAGTTTTGGAGCTGCTCTTGACATGTATGTGCGCATGAGGTTTACCCCACGCATCTCGCATCTCACCAAATCAGGCAGCTAGCCTCCACAGTATATGGCTGTGGACACACCAGCCAACACACAGGCAAATCATGATGGATTGAGTCACACGCCTGGAAGATCAATATACTATAGCTTCCAAAACAAAAGGACCAATAATTCATTAATTCATTGGGTTGTTGACTTGTTGAATCAAAACAATTTTGCTTAAAAACTGGCATGTTCCTGGGATTGGACTTGCCTGTGAACCCCTCGCCCGACATCTAAGGCAAGTCGCAAGAAACAATGCTACATTTCGTGTGCGTTTCAGGCCGCACGGATTGGGAGCCGATCTGCATGGAATATGTAATCTAACCCACAATGATTGAAGACACTGATAAGATTTAACTTTCCAAAAAGACATTTATGTTGGATTGTGTTTCAGTTTCCATGATTCTTTGAAACTAATCAAACATAGAATAGAAATTCAGTTATAACTTAATGACCCATTGACTTCGGACTCCCAAATCCATATTCAACACAGCCCAACTATATATTTAAGGGGGAGAGGTCAGCCAAAACCTTCTTCATGTTGAACCTGATTCGAGAAATGATCTTCTGCGTCTCCGAAAGAGGGTCCTTGTAGTCTTCGATGGATTCCTGGTCCTCAATCCACTCAGCCTTGGATCAGCATTGGACTCACCCAAGGGATAAGCAGTGGCTTACGATATTTTTTAAAAAAAACTTGCATCTGGTATAGTCTATACTACACAGTTGTATATGTTGTCATCTTTTTAGATTACATCTGAAAAGATTCTTCTTATCAAATGCATATTATGTATTGTTCAAATTATATTTGATATATAGTTGAACTGCCCTATTTTATTGTTGTAGGAACTGATCATGAGGTTGGGAAGAATAACCATACCAGTGATGCCCAATTGTACCGGCAGCCCCCCAACAAATTGATGCCAAGAAACAAGCACATAAGCACCAGCACAGCTCAATGCCATTTTCTCGTTCCAGCAAGTGATCTTGTCACCGGTGGACAAGCTGACAATGTGATCTCGGTTAGGAGTGAGCACACCAACAGAGGTAGTACGCCAGTACCAAGAAAACTTTGCCTTCTTGAAGACACCGGCAAAGCGATCATCCTTTATGTAAGCCTTGAGCTCCTCGACCGAGAAGTTCTGGACATCTTTGATGCGCTGGTGGAAAATTCCCTGCATGATAGGATCTGACATGTCAGCTTCCTCCGGGGCTGCCTGCTGCTTCTTTTTGGCACGACGAGCTTGCTCCTTTTTGATGGCCGGGGATGTCAAAGACTTCACCGGAGAACCTCCCCCAGACTTTCCCTTCTCAGGAGTGGCAATCACCGCTTTCTTCTTGGGCTGGGTCTTCGCCTTTCCTTTTGCTTTCGCCTTTGCTTTTCCCTTACCCGTAGGCTTGGGCTGAGCTGGATCTGTGGACGAAGTCCCAGAAGGAGGCAGTCCCACATAGGCATCACCAGACAGTCGCATCCTCTTGCGCCATTCATTGGGCAAGTATTCTTCGAACACCTCCCTCAGGTTCTTCTCCTTGCCAGTCTTGGGGTCGATGAACTTGGTTTGCTGCAAGGTGGTTTCATCCAATTTTGGAGCATGGGTAGCATCACTTCCGCTAGCAGATTCACCATCATCAAAAAGCTTCCGTTTGGGTGTCGGAATCTCATCAGGCTCATCCTCCTTCGTCTCTGTACTGGCCATTTCATTTTTCTTCTCCGGCTGCTCATCATGCTCTTCATTTTGTTTCCCTTTGTTGCTGCCTTTTGCTCTGCGTTTTCCTTCTGCTTTGGCCTTTCCTCGTGCCTTCGACTTGCCCTTCGGTTTCTGGTCATCCTTCTCATCATCATCGACATGACCATGCCCTGCTGCCTTCTCTTTCCTCTTTCTGCTCCTGCTTGCGCTTTAGCTGATCTCGGCGAGTAAGGACTCCCTGCAAGCGATGACAGGGCACAGCCTCTAGAGAAATGAAAAAACATTTAGCCAACGCATTTTGAATAGCCCAACAAATAATAGTAATTGTGTTTCTCAAACCCATGTGTTTGAATTATGTTTGAACTTATTGTTTCGCCATCCACTTGTCACTGTGAAGAATGCAATGGCATATACTGAGAATATCCCACCTTATCCTGCGGTGATGGATTTTGGGGATCTGGTTCATCGCGTAGATTCTGGGCAACAAAAGCGGCAACCTCCTCCGACAGGGGCTGAGTCTCCACATTGTCCGGCGCAGGCTTCGAAATCTTGAGCTCCGTGAATCCTACACGCAACGAGGCTGAAGCAAGTGGAAGTTGTATCGAGGAGTGGATGTGTAAGGTTTGGTATGTATATATTTGCGTTCATAACTGGGAAAAATATTTACAAATAATAATTCTATTGTTATATGTTGGACTGGGTGCTAGTAGATTATGTTGATTTGTTGGAAGTAGGTTATGTTAAGTTTGTATAATTTAAATGTATTTGCCATAGTCATAAATTATAATATAACTAAAATGTTTTGGTATGTGGTGGGTAGGCAACAACAAATAGTATCTCATGTGTCTTAAATCTGTGTTTCCAAAACAAGACCTGTGCTTCTTGTCAACTGAGTGATTTCTGTAATCGGACCTGCATGTAATAATAGGTGACTTACACACATTTGAAGATAAAACATTGTCATGTTCTGCCAAGAAAACACCTCAAAAATTTATAAGTCGTATCGGTCTTCCAGCCTTTGGGTGCATCAGTCGATGAGCTTGCTGCTTCAACGGGCATGGTGCTTGAAGGCAATGTGCTCGGAACTGTATTCCTCAGATATGTTATGGATTCCAACGGATGCATAACATTTCATAATTCAAGTATTTGCTAGAATGTCAATGTCTGGTTTTGTGGAATTTCTTTGGGATTGGAACATCTATGTAATTACTTATTTTTGCTATATAAACTTAGGCTTGAAATATATCAAACAAATCGATGCATATGGTGATTGAAGGGGAAACTGATACAATTTACCCAGTTGTTGCTGGCAGCCAGGCATTACCCAACTAGCATCGACCCAGTGTATCTGAGGACCCTGGCTCTTGGCTCTGCTTCAGCTGCAATTTCTTCTCAGCGATCCTTTTTCGCAATTCCAGAATGCCACAAATACCTGGGCAGCCGGGTGAAGGGAAGAGAGTTATGATATATTATAACTTTATAACTTATTCCATAACTTTCACATATATCCATATCGTTTAGTTGGTTGAGACAATACCATCCCAAAATAAACAAATTTTAATCCAAAACAAGTGTAAGATACAGGTCTTCTTACGGCAAACATTGCACAAAGTTGATTCAACAGGCTTGGATGTAGTAGAAGATTCCGCTGGAGATGCCGCTGGGGTGTCCACAGGAGAACTATCTGAGATGCCATTCTCACCCAACCATCTCTTAAAAGCATCAAAATCCCGAAGGGTTTCTTCATCTTCACCATCACCAACATTTTCCACATCATGCCCATCTCCATCACCATGGCTCTCGACTGATGAAGTCGAAGATGACCTGTGAATAGGCCTCTTCATGTACTCGGTAATGAAGTCCTCGCCAGGCAGCTGATTGACGCAGAAATTTGGAATTATTTTCATCAACATGGTTACTATTTGGTACAGTCCCTGAAAACTTACTGAACTAAGAATTGTTTCACCACATATAATCACAATACCACCCAAAGAAACACTGTCCTTCAAGTTGGGATTGAGCGTCAAGATCAGTTCGTGGAATCGCACATCCTGGGGCACAAAACCTAAGAAACACATATATGGTAATTATTCATGATCGAATAGAACAAATCAAATCATGAGCGTTGATGGAGCCAGCGCATTCAAACAAACATATTAACATGAACATTGAAATCACAAACCGGTATCGATCCTAAAACACATACCACATCTTGGGGCAAACTAAATTATAAACAATGTGTCTATCAATGCAGATTTGTTTGACGGTTTGATACCCCTGTCCTTTGTTACTTCCTTTCTGTTCGTGCGCCTCTTCACTAAGCTGCACAATTTCTTGACTTCAACCGCTGTGCGGTAGATATTCAAGTCACCGGGGGACAAACCTGATTTTTGCCCCAACAAAGCAAATTCCACCTGCAACGGTTCCAAATGTGGAAGACGGAATTCATTGACATGGGCCATCCTGCGAAGAATTGGAAATATGATGCATCCATTATCTACACAATTCATTCTGGTAGGCAGGCAAATCTTCTGGGTGGCCGGGTGGGTCAAGAACTTTTTGGTGAGGCGAAGTCTTTCCCTTATCTCACAGCTCCGTTCCCATTCCCGGGCCAGCCCATTGCAATCCATAGCCACGTTAGACCCGGGTCCTTCTCAACACAATTGAGCCAAAATGCTCTCATTCATTTAAAAAAAACATATCGTTTTACACATCATTCTTGGTTTGAACTAACTTCCATTGTTCTTACTAGGTTTACTTTGTCAACCTAGTCCCATATCCAACCCAAATGGTTCTTGAAGGGTACTCTTAAAAACAAATCATACTGTCATTCATATTTTGTGTCCTTGTTTGGGAACACTGAGGAAATGGATCCAGAAGGTGCAGCTGCAGCTAACCCCAGCAGTGTTGAAACCTGTGAAAAAAACTGCTGTTGGGTCTCCGGACGGTGGGCTGAACTTCTCATAGTTCAGGGAGGGATTGGAGAGCATGGCCGGATTGCCGGAAGGGAGAATGGGATATACAACAAGGTCCAAACCTTTCCCGGATAGTACAATATTATTGGGTTCCATGTTGATACCTTTTTTGTGGATATTCTTTACTACTGAACTATCATATCTATCAATGCTCAATGACATATTAGCAACTAGCTTTCCATCTTGAATCCTGGTTGATGGAATGTGGTTCCATTCTCTCAATCATGAACCTTTTGCACCTTTCAGCCGAGAATGTCGATCCCATTGATCTAAGTTAACTACAACAAACCACTGTTGGGTTGGCATCATATCCCAACAAATGAATTGAACCTTTGATGATTGGCATTCAGATATTACTAATTTCCCTTATATAAGGAAAAAGCAGTTTTTTTAGAAAAAACCCGCTTTTTTGGGGATTACGCTGAAAAACCTGATATTTCAGTTTGTACCCAAAAAAAAGTAGGTAAATGATTCAGTAGGTATATATATTAATATATTATTTATATATCATTGTCCCATGATTATATCCTTATACAACACATCCCTTCTTGATGTGAATCCAGGCTCCAGCCACGAGAAGCCGGAGGCCGCTGGGCATGGAAGCAGCTCATGGATACACCGTTTCGTATTATGAATGATAGATATGCATAGATATGTAAACATAGATATGTAACTGTAAATTAATCTGTTTTTTTAATGTAATATATGATATCATAAGATCTTGAATATATTGGACTCCAGATATTTTCATGTCTGAAGATACTACTCGACTCTCAGATCTACTCCGCCAGGAGTCAACTCCGAGCCCTGCCTGTTTGTTGGCGGCGCTCCTCCAGTCTCTTGGGTGGCACAAACTGATGATAGGTGTAAACTTTGTCATGGAGATATAATGGGTACCCTCTGGTAAACTAACAGTTTGCTATGGATCTTTAATAGGTAAATCTGCTAGAAATGTGCAATTTCTAATAGCTATGTCAAATCACCAGATGGTAATTGGATGAAATCAAGAGGTTGAGGCGATCAAACAAAAAAAACAAGAGGCCCATGATGCTTGAAGTGAACAAACTGTGGTCAGTATGTAGACGTTGCATCAGGTCAAAACCAACGAAACCTGTAAGAAATACTGGCAATTTTAGGCTTAGGATATTGCCGGAGTAACACACAAGAGTCAGTAAGATAGTCACACTTTGTGGGAGCCGTTGACAATTTCTCGCGCCCAGTAAAAGGCCAGCAACATAGTACTTTTTACTCCATTGAAAGGTACGTCTTCAAAGTGCAGTGAAGTGTAATTGCTTTATATATATATACTGTTTTTCCACAACAACACCAGTGTCGACATAAGAACAGCTGTTTCTACACATACACACAGACAAGATACATGCAACCCGCAGAGAGTGTTTGCCTGGAGGCCAATCTGCTATCCATGGGCCCCTTGGAGAGCCTGACTCTGAGGTTGAATCCGGATCAACTGGCTCCTGACCATGCCAAAGTCTTTCCCTCGCAGGCAGTTTCACAGCTGCCGCTTGTTCAGCTGCTCAACTCATAGTCTGTAACATAAATATATTAAAACAATAGCACATACATATATATATATATACATTTATCTATTTATTTATCTATTTATTTATTTATTTATTTTTCTCGTATATATATATATATATATTATACATATTTATACATTATATATTAATATCCTTGAAATTTTGATGCCTGGTGTCACACTCATGATGTCATGTGACGTTTATATTGGACAAGAATCCATGTGCGCGTAGCCACTTGTGGGTAGTTGTAGGGGGGCCAAGCCATGTATCCAACCCAATGTTCCAAAGACTTCTGAGGTGATGCTGGTCGCATTGAGAATTTGTGGCCAGCTGTAGCTAAAATCCTGGAACGGGTTTTGACCCCCCAAGAATCGTGGCAATCCTGGTATTTGAACCTTGGTTTCCTGAACAAAAATACCTTGGTGAACCCAGTGTTTATACCCATGTTTGATGGTTAAATCACCATCTTTCGCCGTGAGGCGGCCCCTCAGAGTCAATGGTCCAGCCCCTTGCAGTGTCTTGGTTTCGAGATGAAGCGATGGAAGAACAGAAGAATGTGATGAGAAGTGGACCACAGAAGTCAACAGAAGTCTGCTTAAAATGTTGACTTTGGTTGACTTGCTACATTTTAAAAAAGATCGCTACATTGAAAGTACTAATTATTCATAGATATTCATAGCTGATCAGGTCCAATTTCCGAGATCCGGTCCATGTCTGACTGTTGAGCACCTCACTGAGGCCTTTGTTGAGACTTCTGTGTCATTTGTTGACCTCTTCTCGACTGGTCTTTTGACTGCAGGGGGTGGCCAAGAGTTTGGAAAGGTGGTTGGGCCAAGGTTGGCACTGTTGGCACTCTTGGCACACAATATTTCAATAATTTGGGGTGATATATATATATATATATAGATATGTTTTTATATTTGTTTCTGGCACTCTGGCCCTTTCGTTCGAACTTGCACCCTGGGTCTGATTTGCAACTTTATTAACTTTATTGATGGTGAACATATATAGCCTGGCGTTAGATGGAAGCAATTTTTATTGGAAGCACTGAGGAACCGGCTCTTTCAGAATCATCCTTTGGGTTCCATGATCCTCGCACTCTATCAGACGGCTCTCCTGGTATGCAACGATACAACTTCAGGGACGGCCACAGTAGTTCTGCCAGGCTACCATCGACCACTTGGTCTGCGGGTTATCAGCCTCTGTTTATTGTATATATATATACATATATATATATATACAAATATATATATATATATATATCATTTTATCCCTTATCACAGTGGATGGTTGCGAAATCCTGCACCAGTTGATAGGTGGTAAACATCCCAAGTTTATCCCATTATATATAGGGTTTCAACCATGGTCCAAGCTCGTGCACCTTGTGGATCCCTGGTTGTCCTTTTCCACAACTGATGGGAAGCGCGCAATTCTACCTAGCTTGTTGCGCGTGTTCCGTATCACGTCTTCTCTTCGTTATCTCATTTATTGCTTCCAATCTTACACAACCATTTGCTATCCTCAATCTTTCGTCATTTCGCTGGTTTTGGTTAATCCCACAACTGTTTTAAGACCATTCGCCAAGGAACCAAACGGGTGAATGAATATATGATACTATATTTTATATTTTTTTCATACTTTTTTGTAATATGATATAGTTATAAACGAAATATCAACACCAAGAATCTGGCGATTTCTCGCACGAACACATCATTGGTTTTCTAGGCGGGCTTTGCGTTGGACGAGTCCGACGGCTCAGAGGCGGCCGGTGGGATTTTTCCGCGACATTTCCAGGACATTTACACCGGAATGGGATTTTTCCATAGGTTTATCAAGGGTTACCCTCTGGTAAATAAACATAGACCCTGAAAAATCACCAATTTTTAATGGAAACTAGTCTTCCAACCCCTATCTACCAGGGTCTATGTTAATTTACTGGAGGGTATCAAGGGTTAATCATAGGTCTTTCATCGGGTTTTTCCCATTTTTGGTGAGGTTATATTTTCCAAATATTCTATGTCAAAATCTATGTTGATATCCTGGCAGAGTCGGCTGGTCGGCTGGTCGGCTGGTCCCACTTTGATGGGGATAGCACCATAGATTTGATGGGATATAATGGGATATACAAACCAAGTTGATGTTATTTGGGTGTGTCTAAAAAATGCGGGACACCCTCCACATGGCTATTTTTTCCAAGGGGATGATGATGAATTAGTGGATAGAATGAAGTAGCCTATTTTCAGACAGCCCCTCATTTGATCACCGCGACTGTCCTCTGGCAATTTCGAGGTCCAATGGATCGTGGTGCTGCCCATTTGGGTGATTCGGAATCGCGGTACTTTCAAATGTACTCCAGTGAAAGGGAATCTCAATTTTCGCAATAATATATATATATATAATTATATTACATTGTTATATATTATGGCTATACAATTAGGATAGTTGTGAATAAATGGATGAGTGGACGGACAACTGGAATGGAAAGCACCAGCAGCTTTGGCTTTCTCCAGGCTTTGCTGTCCGCGGCCCTGAGTCAGGCAGGGCGGTGAAGGAAGGGTTAGCCAATGTTAGCCATAAACCCTGCAATAGCAGCAGGAAGGTGAAGGCTATTTTCACATGGCTGGTAATTAAACATGGGAATCATTCATGGGATTCTCTGGTACTATGGTTGGGTAATCATGTTAAATTATATCCTATGGTTGGTAAATATTAATCATATAGGAGACTAACCCCTGCAAGATATTATCGTCCGGCCATGTTTGATCGCAGGGTGGTAGTTACCCTGTTGGTGGCGTCATCCCTATACATGTACTGAAGATGCAGATGAGGATTCTCAATGGACCTCTTTGGGAGGGCTGGACACCTCCTATGAACTTGCGAAAAAAGAATGCGTACTACTTTTGGATACTTTTGGTAGACAAGCGGGAACACAAGCTGGAAGAAAGAGCACCAGAAATGCTATGGAAATGGTTTGCAATTTCAACCATGCTTTAAAGTATAAGTATAATGGTTTATCACTTGAGTCACTTAAACGTTGATTGGTGCTCACTTAAACGTTGATTTGGAAGAGAACCCCATTTAAAGGATGTAAAGGGAACCTGTGATTCCAGAGTCTGATTTGAGGTACACAATATAATTACTTATACTTATATATAAATACAGTGCTTTGTCTGAAATCCCGGTTGTTTCATCATGGTTTTCCCGCCTAAAATTGCCACTGGATAAAAACCCCGATGAGGAGCCTCAAAATGTGAGCTACGACGTTCTACCATTGGCGGCACGGACGTATCGCCTGACGTGTTTCGGAAATCCATGGGTCTTGAAGGGTCAATGGGATGGGGATGGGGAAACCACTGGAAATCCATTTTGGTATGTCATGCCTAGCGCTTGCCATATTCTTGTTTCAATATATGGAGGTTTCCGCCAAAATGGAGGTACCCCATTTATCATCCAAATTTTAGTAGGATTTTCCATCATAAACCATCCATTCTTGGGGATCCTCATTTATGGAAACCCCCGTGATTGATCCGCGGCGGATCCACGTGATGGTATCCGATCCAGCGGGTTGGAGATTGCTTGGTATATCTTGGCTGTTCCAGCTGGAGGATATGTGCACCTATAGATTCTATAGATCATTTTTTGGATGACTTAGAATCACTTAGAATCATGGATTAGTCCTTAATCCTTAAAGTTTAATGAACAGTGTTGTCCTCCAGAATCTCTTGCACGACTCACCACCTCCACATTCCACGCATTTCCGCGCGCAAATTCCGGTGATGCTGCATGGGTCAAAGCTGTGAAGCACCAGCAGGCAGCCAATTTCTTCCACCTCAAGACCATGGATCCCAGCACAAAGAAAAAGCTGCCGTGCTCAAAAACTTGTGAAATCATAGACCCAACTACCAAATAAGGATAAGCTTAGGATAACTCAGTTCCCTGCATAACCAGCCCCAAAAAACTGCCCCAGATCTCTCCCAAATCCGTCGATGGCCGGGCCGCCCCAAAAGCGACATGTCGCGGGACGCCAAGAAACAGGCGCCCTTGCCGTACGAGGACTGGTGGCAGACGGTGGGCCGCCGAACGCTCCGACGTCGGAGAGAAGTGGTCTTCCAAACGGGCAGAGCGAGCCTTGGCCGAGGATTTTCCAGGTGCTTTAAACCCGTCGGAAGTATAGGAAATGGGGATTTTACATATAAAACCATCCACAAACACGGTGGTTGAACTTGGTTTAAACACAACGGGAGCAGGAAGTCTACGGAGTCTACCATTAAAAATTGCCAGTGTCAAAGATGGGGATTTGACCAAACATATACGGACCAAACAGCGGTAGATGGGATGGGATTGACTTTGAGGTCGCTTTGGCCCAAGCTAGACTCAAACAGCAATAACCTGAATGCAAATTGACACAGCGAGGGTCAGTTCGGATGTGGCTATGGATCAATACCTATGAAAATAGCATTTTTAGGGGCTTATTCACATCCATTTTAACCATCCATAAATCCCAGCTATGACTTGATGTGAACAGAAGGGGTACTACATGGGTTTTGACACACTGCCATGTAAGTCTTAAACATTGGCCTTGACATTAGCACCGCTATCACTGGTGAGATCACCAGGAACTGAAGCTTTTGGCGCAACATGTGCCATGGTCAAAACATTGTTCCCATAAAACAGATGGTCATGCCCCCACAAATAGAGGTTCACATATATATTATACATGATATAATAAGATAATATATATATATATTATATTATATATATATTACATATATATGTATAGATACACCCATTTTCACAGGAATCCCATTCGCGATGCTGGGATGACCAGGGGCTGCACCCATGTTTTGACCATGGCAGATATGGCACCAGGCCCATCAATCTTCCGCCACACCCAGCACGTTTGGAGCTGATTCGTGACGTGGCTCCCTTTTCCGAAGACTTCAGCGGCACCAGCACAGCACAGCTGTTAACACATACGGCGCCAGCGGGGTTCTTTGGAGCCAAGATGCTTGGTGGAGAAGTCAGATCTTTCCGATATCCTGGAAGATTGAGGAGTCAACTGACCTACTGGTATCAAAAGATCAAGGGCAACAATAAAACTCACTTCCACGTGATTTTCGACTGCTTTACAATGTAAGTATGGTGAGTGAGTTGTTTTTGGATTTTGTTTGATCTGTTTGTGAAATGCGAGCAAATGATATATCCAATTTCGCAGTGGGATAGACGAACATTAGTCAGAACATTTTTCCAATGGTACTAATGGTACTGTGTATGTTCTGATTGTATCAATTTATATCAGTGTCTTTAATATGTGTTGTGGTTGGACTGACCTGGCAGCCAGGTTCTTTTACATCGTCATTCAGCAAATCTATCTACCCTCTGGTAAACTAACATAGCAATGGAAAATCACCATTTTGTATGGGAAAATCCACCATAAATAGCCATTTTCAATAGCTATTTTGACATAACCAGAGGGTAGGTTGCATGGCGCCATGTATGTCCTTTCATCTGAGCAATCCTTTTAAGCGTTTCTGGGTGAAGTCCCACCGGAAATCACAGCCAGGACCGGAGTTCAGGGCCGTCACATACAAAAATCATCGTTGCCGCGGTCTTTTTCTGGGGAGTGGCTTGGATATCTTGGATCTGGAAATATCTGGAACTTCAAACTGAATGGAACCTTCACTACATTTTTATCTTCCCTTGGGGCCTCTGTTTCATGGCTTCGCTGCATTTTTAACTGCAACATCGCCATGTCTGGTCTTTGAAACACTCGATGACTTGGATGGGAAGTGATTTTTCTGATCCCACCTGTTTCAGGTGCTGTCAAGTGATCAATGACCAAGCACCCATCGAGTTCTTTGATTCTTTGGCCGTGCACCTTGGACGTGTTTGGTTTGTGAAAATTGCGGAGGGATGCGGAGGGTATACCCCGACATAGTATCTAAATGTATCTAATAGGGATCGTTTTCTATGAAACTTGTACCTCCCCAATCAAGCAGAGGTTTTGTGAATCCAGGGTTGACATTATAGATTCGTCGGCAGCGCCATGTGTCATAACCAGAGTGCTCCAAAATCCTGATGTTGCATATCAAGATGAGTAGTCTGTAGATTGGAGGGTCTTAAAATCCGATTCATATAGACAGTACCTGTTTGGATTCGGACTTGGAAACTCTATCCCCTATGCCAAATAAATGCTTACCAGTTTGGCTTCCTGAAAATTGGGTGCACTGCCAGCGGGAAATCCTGCACCATATCCATCCATATCCATCCTGGGAGGTACCGGAGCTGTCCTCTGTTCCAGCGATGTTCTCCCGGCTTCATCCAAAAGTTGATGTCGGTCGGGGGAAAGAGCGCATGCCATGGGCTCCTTGGATTTCAGCAGCGCTAGCAGCACGGCAGCTGAGATGGGGGATCTTTGGGGATCATTTTTGGACCTCAAAAATCCGGCTTCATCCAGCCTAGCTGTGGAGATTTGGTTGGTGCGGCATGATGCGGAAAAATTGGAGGTACAAGTGACAACTGCCAACTGCCCAAATTATGAGAGGGGATCAGATGGGATGAGTATGGATGAGTATGTTTCATATGTATTCATATGTCTCCTGAACCTGTAAGATATTGTAAGATGTTCACAAGGATAGTATATGTAAGATTATCTAAGTTGCTACGTTCCTCACATTCATGTGATTTTTGTTCATTGTCGCGTGTTTCCCACCTCTGTTTTTTTTTCCATATGGGATCCGGATGTTCTCCGGTCCCAGGAAGATCTTCGAGTGTGGCTCGACCATCTACCCGGAAGGGCAGAGAGGCAGCTGCATGTGGCTCAGCTTGCGATGGCCGCAAAGTGGGTCAGTGCTACGAGAAGAAGAGAAAAACAGACATGTTGATACTGACATCTTCGAACTATTAGGGGGTGTATATAAATAATATAAATAGTTGGCAAGTAATACTGTAACTAACAAGCAGTTTTTTCATGAACCACCAGTCTCATGAGCTGTGGATATTTGGAGCGGTCCATGAGTAGCAGGGTTTACGTTCCAACAGAAAAATCACAATGGTTATAATAATGTTTTATAACCAGAAGGCTACAGCTATTTTTTTGGGCTTTTGATTGCCCATTGGAACCACTTTTTGAGCCGAAGTGGAAGGGGTTCTTTTTTGCGAGAACGACTCCACACATCCCATGACCACTTGGTGGCTCATCCCACTTAGGAAGTGGGTTATAACCCCAGTTATAAATGGGATAAGTAGGGTTAATCCACTTATAATTGGGGTTATAACCCACTTACGATTCGTGGGATGAGCCACCAAGCAGGTACCTCATCGTGCGGGGGACGATTGCCTTAGTCCCAGCTTCCAAGCTCCTGGGACCAGGTGCCAATGGCTGCCATGGAGCCGGGCCGGCTACGTCCAGTAATCCCAGTGGTTGTTTGGTTGTTGCTACTGCAAGTCCTTCCATTGCTTTTACAGCCTATTTACAAGCGGAACATGCAGATACAGATTATATATATATTATAATATATATATATATATATATAATATCATTATATAACTGGTTGGTGCTTTGGAACATGCATTTTATTTTTCCATATATTGGGAATTTCATCATCCCAACTGACGAACTCACTCCATCATTTTTCAGAGGTGTAGGTATACCAACCACCAACCAGATAACCAGGTTTTCGGTTCTGGCAGATGCCAAGACTTCTGGACCGGTATCAGATCGACATCCCACCAGGTGACTGCATTGGTGTTGCGCAAGGCTTGGGTGTCGTGGCAGAACGCCAAGAGACGGCCATCGCAGACGCCGGTCCCATCTGGTCCAGCTGGTCCTGGCCTGGCGGAGGGTGTCACTGATGGAAACGCCATAGGAACCCCCGAAAGAATTCCGGGTGAAGCCAATGGTTTCCTGTATGTTTTTTTTTCCAACCGAACCATTGAAACAGGGGGGTTGTTCTCAAAAGGATTCCAAGAACATGACAACTTGGTATATATATATATATATACGCATGCATATATATATATATATACACATGCATATATATATAGATATGCATATATAATATACACATGCATTATATATATATATATATATTTATGGGATTGGTACCCTGAAGCTCCAGGGTTTTTACGTGGTGTGTTTCTTTTTTTTGAGATGCAGAATCAGCAGATTGGGTCCATTCAACTGCTTCAGAGCCATAAATTTGGGTCTGTTGATGGTCCTCGGTCCATGTATTTCTAAGCTGCATTGTAGAGGCCCTTGGCATTTGCAACATCCATGGCGACAGCATCAGGGTTTGTGCACTGTTCAGGGTCAGCGCTCCGAGGAAACCTCCGTGCATGTCCTGGAGATCACTCTGTCGGCTCTTACAACCATTTTCACGGAGAAAGAGGATGCTCAATCAGTTCAGGGGAAAGGAAGATGTCCCCAGATGACCAAGGTAAATTGGGATGTCAATTGGATGATGTCAGCCAGATTTTGTAACATGGGCATATGATGGCATATGGGTCATACTTGAAACAAAGATTAAAAGCCAACATCGGGGTGTGCCAACAAAACCCCTGTCACATCAAAGTTGCTGAATAGAGTTGATGGTTTTTGGTAAGAAAAGATCGGGGAGCATCAGGCACCATCTCTTCTGTATTCGCATAACGGGTTGACATCCTGTGATATCCCATAACAGTTGCCATGATGCCTCCTTTCCATCCTGGGCCCCGGGGGTCCAATGCTAGGAATTTCACTCTTCGACCTGTTTTGGTGGAGAGTCCTGGGGTATCCTGGCAATGACGTCCTGGACATTTAAGGGTGGGTGGTTGTCAAAGGAAAAGACCTGGATAGACATGAATAGTGATTTTGAAATATGTTGAAAAACTTGCACCTAAAAAAAGAGCTCTCAATTTTAATAATGTCAGTTGATATTTTAGTAGAGAAACCAAAGGTCTGGGGGTCCAAATTACGAGAGAAACAAAACACAACGGATTCCATGACATTCCATGCCCGGCTGTGGTTTTGCAGTATAATGTTCGGATTGGTAACCGAGCAAATACAACACCACTTCATAGGTCCAGTATATGCTTGGATGAAACCACTGAGCATTTATTACAGTAGAGGCCTACTACGACTTAAATTTCATTGCCTAAAAACCATCTATCCACCTATCCATCCATAGAATTCCATGTATACATTTAATATATCTGCATATATCATATATTATCATATATTCAACGCTTCCATATCTGATGTCATCTCACCTTAAGAAACTTTTCTCCATCGAGCGATCAGCACTTTGCCGCCTCGCCTTTGAAAAAAGCCATAAGATCCATGGTGCTGCTATATATGGTGTGCCATGGATCCCATCAACAAAAAAACCCAATGTTGTTAGCATATGTTAGTATATATGCTAACATAAATATCCCATGTATACCATATATATATATATATACATATATATATATATATATCCCATCAATATACCATCAATATAGCAGCACCAGCCGGAGCCGTCATGGCTTTTAGGTAACTACTACATCCACGAGCGTCGCTTGTTCGAGTTGGAGGCGCGTCGCCTGCGGGTGGAAAAGGCCGCGAAGACGCGGCGGATGAAACGCGAGGCCACGGACACCACGAAGGCGGGGGCGATGACACCATGATGACACGATGGAAATACGGGGATTTCATGGGATTTCACATGTTTTACCCTCTGGTTATGTCAAAATAGCTATTGAAAATGGCCATTTATAGTGAGTTTTCCCATGAAAAATGGTGATTTTCCATAGCTACGTTAAATTACCAGAGGGCAACATGATTTAATAGAATTTAACATGATTTGAAACATGGAAGAAATGGGGATATGATGATCAACTAATAGTATATATTACTGGAATAATCATATATGTGGATATATGTGGTATAGTATGGCTTATTTTATAATGGTTTTCGACGGCATGGGAAGGATTGGGACAAACAAGAGTGTCTTTCATCAGTGTCATTTTTTTTCTTGAATTGCACCAGAAAGAATCAAGAAATGATGAGAGTTAGATCATATCCATGAAAGCTCGGGACAAATCAAGAAATGACACAAGATGTACCCTCTGGTAAATTAACATAGCAATTGAAAATGGCCATTTATAGTGGATTTTCCCATTAAAAATGGTGATTTTCCATTGCTATGTTAGTTCACCAGAGGGTACATCATTCTGTATTTATATGAAGTTCATGAAGCAGTAGAGGATATTGGGCTTCAGTGATGGTGTTGGGATCATTGGGATCTCCAGCAAAATCAGGATTGTTTTTTGACATGTTAACCATAGTGATGACACATGAAGATGTGAGATTTTATGATTATGATATGATGATCATGGCTGGGACTGGAATTCCAAAACTAAAACATCAAGAAGAAAAAAATGTTGACATTTTGTTGACCTTATCCTCTATATCACCAATCAGAAAGATGATATGAATTTCAGGCCAAAAGGGGATGTGGTAATCAACAAACAAATGGGGATGGACAATAAGAGATGGCATTGAACGAAGAGAAGTTGGGTTGAACCACAGAGTTTTCAGGGATTTGGACGTTTGGAATTACTGTATACCGACCAATCTGATTTCCATACATATTGAGGGGCTTCTATTTGTTGGCCAACGTGGAAACGTTTCAGATTCTCCACGAATCAAAATGGTTAGCTACACAAGTTCATATCGTGGTATTTTTTCTGGCTTATCTCCAGAAGTCTGTCCTGAGGCGACAAAGACTTTGAAGAGACCTACCGTGTGTCTCGTCAGTTGTATGCAAATGCTCACAGAATGCTCGCTATGACTGTTTCATGCAAGTTGGGTTTGAGGATATGACAGTTGTCAAGTTGTTTCTAATAGCCAGAATACTGATTGCGTGTGATTGTGGGTGTGACAAACATCTAGTAAACATATTGACGACATCGCAAGCACTGAATGTACGGAGGGTTCAGGCAAGCAGCCACTGATCGAATACCATCGTTCGTTGAAAGGAATCCCAACCCCCACGGCCAGTTATGGCCACCAGTTTTCAGTCAGTTGAGGCCACCATTTTGTGGAATGATCACCTCGTTTCTTTTTCTCAGTGGTTTCTAGGGCTTCAACGGCCCGTTGTTGAGGCAATTGAAAAAGCATCACGCTGAAGAATCGGATCCCGTGCCAGTCAACCTGCTGCATTTGGGCAGCCAATGGATTTTTTGAATCAAAAGGCTGCCCAAAAGGATGTCAGAAAAAGGGGGGAAGCCCAGTCGTTGGTTTCTTTAATGCCACCAGGAAGGGCTGTTTGAGAACATATCATACGTCGTATCATTTCTAGAGTGAATAACTAGGTCTATGACTCGGTTCCTGTTCTTTTCATTGGCTCCTGTTTGTCTTTTGGTTCCAAATCCGAACCATTTCATCAGCATGAACTACTTAGACAGATTGAATCATCTACTGTAAGTGATCGTTCCTAGTTGTTATTGGCAATGGATCGTACTACAATCCCCAGCTCATCATACAATATATTATATCATATTATATAATTGATGTAATTTGTCGAGTTTGTTTGTATCATTTCAGTAATTTTCAATCGTACTTTTACACCGCCACATTGTTGGTCCTATAGTTTTGATATTTTACGAGGATGTATGTATCATTGTACCGTCCAGTTCGGCCTTGGCAAGTCACCTTTTGGGGCGGTTGTTCAGCATTTAACTATTGAAAATGGCCATTTATAGTTGATTTACCCATTAAAAATGGTGATTTTCCATAGTTATGTTAGTTTACCAGAGGGTAAGTACCAAAAGGAATTCCAAAAGGTGATGTTGATCCTATAGCGATCCCAAGGTTTCCGGTTCGAAGTGACCAACCAAGGAGCTCCGGCCTCCAGCCAATCCGCCGCATATTAGCTGCCTACAGCATCCCAGGTGTGACCCAGGTGTAGGAAACATGGGAAAGTTTGTGTGTAGGAAAGCCCACTTCTTTGATTTATAGCAACCTCCCAAAATTTGGAACAATAAATTTCTACTAAAGTAGAATAAACATGAATAAACTATAAATACGTTTCCACCTTTTTTTGGGGGGGTTACTAGAATTTGTAGGTCACCGCCCCAAACACTTCACCGTAAAACCTTGTCGACTTTTGGAGGTAGCTGGTACCAGCTATGGTGGTAACTGGTACCAGTGAGGATTGAGGGCCGGCAGAGGGGAACCTTGGAAGGGTTGACCCTCTATTAATACCCTCTGCTTATTTAATATAGCCATGGAACATGGTTGATTTTCCCATTAAAACCTCCATTTATGGTTGGGATTTTCCATATGGCTATGTTAAATAACCAGATGGTAGAGCAAACCGACAGGAAGTGCACAGTAGATATTGTTGGAGACTTTATGATACTTTTATACTTTTTGTTGGGCTCAACAATTTGACCTCATGCCTTACTGAACTTAATTTACATCCAGGATAGAAGATCATTGTTGTTTGACTTGACTTGACTTCCATCGACCTTTTGATGACTCATCTTTTGGTCGCTTTCCTTTCATCCTGCATTTGGATGGGGAAAACCAGAATTTTCCTTCATTTTTTTCTTAAATCTAGCCATTTTTTCATGTCAGAGTGCTACTTGGGGCCGCAGTTCCACTGTTCTAAGTGTGTTCTAACTGTGATGTACAACATGAATCAACATGATATACCCTCTGGTAATTTAACAGTTTGCTATTGAAAATGGCCATAGAAATAGTGGATTTTCCCATGAAAAATTGTGATTTTCCAGTTCGCTATGTTAGTCATTACCAGAGGGTAACCATAGTTGTAAGGATTATCTGCCAACTTATGGGGGATTAAATCCTATAGTTCCCATCACAAAATCACCCCTGGCCTGGAGGCAATGGCGGCAACAAGTGCAGAAGTTGCAGCGGGAGTTGATCGATGGTGACTTCAGTGAATTCGGTCGTGCTCGACGTGAAGCCTTTCTGTGTCTCGGGCCCATGTTCTGCTGAAAAGGGGCCCAAAAACAATGATTTTTGCCGCAAAGTGGCTTCATATGTTGGCAAAAAAAATGAGCTTTTTTCGGTTGCCGATTTTCTGACTAAGCCACATGGCCCATCCACTTTGATACTGGGCTGTGCCCTCATTGGGTGGTTTGCGGCGTTGCTAGGGCCGGATCGCAGCTCGCCGCTAAGCTCGCCGCTAAGGCAAAGTTTGTCCGCAAGCCTCACTCAGGCCGCAGGGCTCCGCAGGGCTCCAGGAATCGAGGTGAATACGTCGCTAGGATCATCCTTGGGAGCTGTTGGGATTTGCGGTTAACTATTCACCGTTTGAATAGTTGAATAGTGAGTTCCAAATAAATAAAATGCCATGAAACAAACAACAGAATCATGTGGGAAACTCGATGCCATAGACCTACCTTTTGGGATGTTTTGGGATCGTTCAGCCATAAACCATGCATGCCATGGGGATTTGGGGGAGTGCTGCAGTGGCATCTTATGGCATCTTATGGCATTGGGTGAATACCACAATAAAAGGAAGCCATCCTCCAAAAAATCCACCTCACTGATGTGGGTGACATGTCCTATACATCTCGTGTGGTTGATGCCTGTACTACTGACTGATTTGATGGGCATGATTCGGCATTATGACAAAAACAACATAAGAAAAAAACATGGGATGTGTCAAGAGCTAAGATTTTCCACATGAGTTTGTCCAAGAGTAACCCGGAATCCACTGTTGTTTCATCATTTTCGCTAGGAACATCATTCGCTTGGTGTATGCTTGAATCTCCATCACCGGTAGAAGCTCATGTTTATAGATGTAGCCATTTACAGATGATTTTCTCATAGTTTCTCTTTTACAGATGTTCATCCCCAAGAGGATTCTCTCTGCCAGTTTCTGCATCGAAAAAAAAACAGGTGATGAATTCCCATAGCCATAGGATCCATGGTGCTGCTATATATGGTGTGCCATGGATCCCATCAATATACCCCCTTTATGTTAGCATATATACCAGCACCATGGATCCGTCATGGGATATATTTTCTCATTCAAACGGAGAACGACCATCTATCGCCAGGACTTTAACAGCGGCTACCAGCAGCCCTTGGATTCGCCCTTCCGGGCTGCCATGGAGGACAGACACACGCCTCAGCTCGAGGAGGAAATCGACGCTCGGGAGAAAAAGTATGACTGAAATAGTGTACCCTCTGGTTATGACTAACATAGCCATGGTATAGATGGCCCTAATCGAAATAGATGGTTTACCGAACTTAATAGCATGGTGATTTTCCATGGCGAACTGTTAGTCATAACCAGATGGTAAATATTGGGTTTTTAGAAATCCAAACAGAAGTGGAGTGGTCACTCTGTGTGTATTTGTTTTGTGATGCTTTGTGGGTTTATCACATCAACCCTTGGGTCATGGAGGGAAATGAGAGGACAAACATAAATGTGGGCTCCTTGGCTTCTGGGCGGTTTCTAATATCCAACAAGACTGGGGGGTGTTTTGTTTGGGATCTCAAGTTGAAACTTCGAAATCTGTTGTGGTTGGTCCAAAACCACCTTCATTCTTTCAATCAGCATTTTGATGTTCGTTACATATTGATTCCCCAAAAACCCAGATTCATCGAGTTCGCGCCGCCAGGAGTGCAATGAGGAAGTGGGGTTGGCTGAATTCCCAACAATTGTGATGGTTTGTGGATTTGTTTGCCAGGGCTTCCTTGGGGGTCCATCAAAAATCGCATTCCAATTGCGGTTGGATGTCAATCTGGGGATCTCGAAAACTTGGATTTATTCGGACTCATTTATTATTCACATAGATTCACAAGGTTGGTTCTTTTGCCTACGCCTCCCCATGTTGATGTTGCTTGTATCCTCGCCTGGTCTCAGGAAGAAGTCACTTCCGGGATGTTGGAGCTTTCCCTGCTGCGTGGCCATGACTTTGGGATACTTTGGGGTTCCTGTAAGATCGTGGAAGATGCTGGGATAACGGATTTGAATAATTACCTCCCACTTTGATCCACATTAGATTAATGAGATGACATGAGATGACTAGATGACTGACTTTCAATGTGGTCTATTTCTGGGTCAATATGGGTGTTAAAAATGAAGCCATGCTAGTCATGGTCTCCTTTTCGTCCTCCATTTCGTGAACATGTATGGGAAGCTTGTGATCTGGACGCAGTAGAATAGATATTTTCAAGAATTGAAGATTCCCAAAGATCTAATTGTGGACATCCGAAGTGGTTATGATATGCTATGATATCTATCAAGATTAAAAAAAAATCCATCGAAAGCTGAGAAGCTCCCTTACAGCGGTGCTGTGCCGAGGTTGCCAGGTTTTCCAGAGATGAGTTGTCACTGGGCATGGCTTTTTCGGAGTTTCGGATGGATCCCGGGGGGAATTTTGCCAAAAAAGTCTGTGAAAGTCCAGCTTTTCCCTCACATTCCATCGTATATTCCACATGATTCCACATGTACATGAATATCTACAAACATATATATATATAATATAATATATATATATGTCATATGTGTGTGTGTTCCACCTCCTTAGTAACTTAGCCACGCGAATAGAGGATAATGTGTCTGTTTGACTTTGCAATTTTCGCATTGTGCACCATCTGCAGCCATTTGCTAGTGAGCAATGAATCCGGGAAACATTCAGAGATACTGTAAATATTCAACATATGGCAGGAGTTTGAATTTGCTTGGTATCTTGATTTGGTTGAAGCTTGGGGCCTTGGGGCTTTGTTGCTTTTGTTGTTGTTGATTGTTGTTTTTCATTGCTGCTTATTGTGCCTCAAGGCAAGCAGAAGGTGGACCTCTTCCAGCATATGAATGCTCAAAACAAGGTGGGTGGCAGTGGGCGGGGGTCAGCGCCAAATGGGGTCGATGGAGGTAGTCACAAGGTGCTGAGATGTCGAATTTCCATGACCAGCCTGATTGCAAGGGTAATGTATAAACCTATAGAGCATTCTAGAGCTTCAAAAGGCTGAAATTTCATCCTGGGTTGGGTTCATTTCGATTTGTTTCTTCCCGAATTCACAAAAAAGCCGTCCAAGTCCCAAACATGAAAAAAATGTGTTGGAAGACCGAGGCAATTTGTTGAAGAAACATGGAAACCGGTGTAATTCGGGAAAATCCGCTCGCGAATTGCTTTGCACGTTTGATTTAAAACATCATCAAAAAGCAATGAGAACAAGACTCGAGGCTGCCTTGGCTATGCTGTCAAAATCTGAATTGCAAAATGACGCCCCACTTGGTGGCTCATCCCACTTAGTAAGTGGGTTATAACCCCTGTTACAAGTGGATTAACCCTACTTATCCCATTTATAGCTGGGGTTATAACCCACTTACGATTCGTGGGATGAGCCACCAAGCAGGTCCCAACTTCTGCCCCTCTAAAAGGAATCGTTTACCGAAGTGAATCCTCTGCTGCTGGTAATCAGGCGCATGCATCGTCGCCGGCACGACGATGACGTGACGACTTAATGAGATCTGAGGAGACAAAGACCAGCCCAAGGTCTCGGGAATAGAAGGGAAATTGGGTGGCAATCTAAACCGACCTATTTTGTTTGGAATGTTGAATATGCTGACAATACGAACCAGCAACAGCAGCATGGGTAATGTAAACAGGTGTAAACAGTAACAGTATTATACTTATAACTTACAAGTTATAACACAACACATTTCATTCAACTGGAGATGATATCTGTGATATCTGATTTACTGTATGTTTTACATGCTGTATTCCTACTTCACTTTATTCCCAACTGGAACTTCTGAACTGGAGTTTAGCACAGCGTTCTGGTAATCTCAACTAAACATGGCGATGTAAGCCAACAAGCATGGGAACATACGGATATGTTGCATCTCGACAGTGTATTATTTCATTTTGACCACACGGGTTTCAGACTATGACCGAGACCCTTCCCGGAGAACCCCACCAAGAGGCAGATGCTGGCGCACCTTTTCACTCCAAGTTGGGCTCGGTAAATTGAGCCAGTCAGTTGATTGGCCCTTGAGCCATGTTGCAACAGTCGGAGGACGTCTCAACGACTGTGAAAACTTTAAAAAGACCTTAGTGGGGGTGCAGTGGTACTCTGTGCATGTTTCCCAAACCGCACTCCCCCTTCCTGCTTGCAGGAATCCAGGTTCCCCAACACCAAAAACAAAAGCTTCAGGGGTGGCCACGTTTCCTCTGGGAACTCGCCCTTCCCCCAGCCAGAAGGGCGAAGACCCTCGTGTGCCATAGTCCCAGGCTGATGTTGGTTCCCCCTTCATCCAAGGGTCGCGTGGAGTTCCACTTCGGGTTGACTCCAAAAATTGAAAAAACTACAGCCCTAACTTCGTAGGTTTTGAATTCCCTCTCTCACCAGCGCTGTCCTCGAAGAGCGCCCAACGGTGTTCTTTGGGTCCAGCAGCTGATGAGCTTTTCCCTGTATTGGTCTTTTCCACCGGCAGCTAATGATCTTTTCCTTGGGTCTTGTTGATCTTTTTCTCCAGCCACCGATGTACTTTTCCGTGTGACCTATTTCCTTTTGGGTGAGCTTTTCGCCACATCTCTTGGGTCTTGTTTGATAAGGAAAACGGTGTATCCCACCCACTTGTCTTCGACCCACTTGGTCTCCCAGTCAAAATCCAAGATTATTTTTCGCTCGTTGCTGTCCAGGGTATTCCACAAAAATGTGACCCGGTAAGGATCCAACTGGTCGACCTTTTTCGGTAAAGTGGGGTGATCTGGATGAAATGAATTCTGTCTCCATTTGTAATGGATTCTTGTGATGATTCGTCCATAGTCCCCAGGGGCTGGAACATGCCACATGTCAATGGCCTGACCCTGTTCTTCAAAGCCTGTTACGGCCGGCGGCTTTGTCATCCATGCTGTGCCCTCTCCAGAGATGATATATTCCACCTCACGCATGACCACCTCAGGCATGTAAACTGTCCAGCTGGCTGGGTCTTCAGGACGTCGAATTAAATCTTGTCCCGGACGAATCCTTGGTCTTTGGGCCGGTGGCGGAGTCTCCGGTTCTGCTGGCCTTCTTGGTGTCTGGGAAGACTCAGTGTCCTCCTCCGGATGCTCCTTGTACCACTGTTCCCATTCAGCCTCGGTGTATTTGTTCTTCTTCTTCTTTTTCTTTTTCGGTTCCCATTTGTCACCCCATGCACCATCCCACCAATACCATTCTCCTCCATCCACTTCATAGTAAGCCGCTGCCTTAGGAGCTGCCTTAGAGGAGGAGGCTCGGGTCGTTTCTGCAGGTTTTTCCTTTCCATAGACTGATCTCATCCTTGCAAGGTAATCAGCCATTTTTTCTCCTTCTCTCTGTTCCTTCCATTTTCCCCACTCTTCATCATCGGTGGGTACTTTTTCCTCTTCCTTGGGAGTTGGCATCGACGGTTTTTTCGGTGGCGGTCTCCCAGGGGCTTTCATACCCTCTGGCAGCGGAGCTATCGGTCCCTTTGGGACCCTTTCCGAACCTCGCGATTCGGCTGTAGAAGGGCCAGGGCTTTTTTCACTCTCCGATCGCCTTGTTGTCGATTCCTTTTCCCTGTGTGGCGACCTAGATCGCCCTGTTTCACCCCGTCTCCGACGGTCTCTTCCTCTTTCCCTTTTATCATGGGCGCGATCAGCATCCCTCTCTTCGGTTTTTCTTCTTTTTTCCTTTCGATGATCTTCTCCCGGACGTGGTTCTTCTTCCTGATGTTCATCTTTTTCTACAGTTGGCGCCGCCGTGGAATGACCTTCTCCCCCACGTACATCTTTTTCTCGATCTTTCAGGGCCAACTTCACCATCAGTTCAGCTTGTTCCACCATTTGTCGATTGAACTGAGGAACCACCAGGAGTGTCAAATGGCTCATAAGCCATCGGAAAACTTCCCACACCAGGATGACCATCATGGCATAAAGTATGCCAAAAAACTGACCAAAGACGCCTTGCAAAACATCTTCACCGTCCATAGCTGTCACTGGTGCAGCAAGGCAGACGAGGACGCTTTTGAGCCCAAAACTTTTGGAAAAATAAATTGCTGCGGACAACACCAACTCCCTAACGGAAAAACACTTAAATCCCGTTGGTTGCGGAGCTATCCCCTTTGAGGTTTCAGGATGGTTTTTCCCCTTACCTACCACATTAGATTTCCCCAAAAACCCAATTCCCCAAGTTGCAACCAGATCCCACGGTTCTGTGGAACCCGACCTTGGTACAACTTCAGCAGCTCGATGTTCTTCTCGATCGGACCTGGCACAATCCAAGTCCCAAGGTTTCTCTTGTCCATCACCCAGGATGGTCTTAGGGATGGGTTCTTCTTTTTCATAACTGTGCAATTGGGCAACATGACCGTGATGATCTTGTACCCGCAAAACTTTCAAAACTGGTGGATTTTCATCCCAAAAATAAACCCTTTTTGGTTTTGAGTTACCCCTTTTGGTCTTATTACCCCGTTTTAGGATACCCCTAGGTTCTTCTTCTACAGGGTGTTCAACTTGTCCAGGAATGTTCTTCTTCTCCAAAAACGGTAAGACCGACTCCAACTGGAACCGATCCTTGACCACGGATTCAGTGACGCGATACGCATCAGCCAGTACTTGCACCAGCCTTCCAATGGCAGTGCTCAGGGCTTCATGCCGGAAATCGGCTAGTTCTGGATATTCCTCGGCCAGACCAACCACCTTTTTCACCACTGATACGCACCGACCAGCGATATCTCGGTAGTTGTCCCAGGAGGAAGTCTCCTGGTCTGGTTCTTCTGGACGTTGTTCTTCTCCCAGAGGTTGTTCTTCACGATGGTTGGACCCCATTGATGTTTCCTCATTTGGAACCCCGGAACCTTGGTGATTGACGAACCTCCAGAACCTTTCCCAACTGGGCTTCACAGCGATGATCTTCGTCAGGAAATCGGCCACAAGTTTTACCCCTGGAAGGTGACGGATGATCCAACTACCATCCTTTAACCTTTCCCTTAGGGCTGTTGCTCGCAACCGCAAGTGCCGAGTCCTCCACGGACCGTCAGGATTTTCCAAGATGGCTATTGCAGCCGTGTTGTCTCCGTAGATGATCTTCTGCCCGATTTTCCGTCCTTCCACGACCTCTATGAGAGACGCCAGAGAGTCTCCCATGACCATGGATTCCAAGTAGGACATCAGTTCCCCTTCGGCGGTGCTCAACACCACAAAAGCTTGACGGCTGGCTTCCCATTGAACCAACCCTCCACCATAAAAACCTAGGATACCCTGCAGTGATCTTTCGCCCGCAGGGGCAAATGAAATGTCCGAGAACATTTCGACTTGCTGCATCTCCCGGTGAAATGGCAGATCATCTTCGGGACCACGATCATCACTTGTGCAAACCCCATAGCTGAGATGTTGAGTTTCGGTTCCCTTCAGGTAACCAAACACCTGTTGTGCGGTTTTCACCACCCATTTGGGCCGTTTGTTCACCTGTCTTCCCAATTGGCTGACGGCGAAACTGATATCCGGCCTTGTCCTTATGGACAACCACAACAACTCGCCCACCACCGTTTGAGCTTGTCGGATGTTTTCAAGTGCTGGTTGTTCTTCTTCCGGAAGTTCGGCATCCGCTTTCGTCATCGGAACCGGTCTTGGGTGTTCTACTTGATGTCGATTCAACAGATCCCGAGTGTAGGACTGCTGTCCCACCTTCAACTTCTTGTGATCCCCTTGACCGCTCCATTGGAGCTCGAACCCACAAAATCGAACCCAGCCTTTGTGATCAACTTCTTCAGGAGTGGAGCAAGTCCATTCTTCCTTCAGCCTCTTCAAGAAGCTGTGTTTGGCGTGAGGTTCCGCAAGAACCATAAGATCGTCCACATAGACGACCACCAAACCCACTTGCCGATATCCATCAGGACGTACTTCTTCTCCCGGAGCGTCACCACCTTTACACAGGATTCTCCACAAATTTCCTTCCGGCGTTTGTTCCAGCTTGTACTCCTTCTGCATCTCCCCCGGGCTTGCATCTCCCTGCCATGTGAACCGCCGCATTGTTTGGTCGCGGTACACTGCCCAATGGGCAGGGCTGGATTGAAACCCATACAGGGCCTTGTCGACAAGCCAGACCTCATCCGGTTGGGTAATCCCAAAATCAGTCATGATCCTGGGCGGCACCACCGCCACGGTTTTGGCACCTTGTTCCACCGGCCGAGGAGCCAGTAGAAAGGCGGTCTTGATGTCCGTCGTGGCTACATCCCATTGGTGATGAGCTGCCTTTCGCAATGCACACCTTATCAGAACCCCGTCCGCTCCACTGGCATACAGCAGAGAGGAAGGCATGGGATCCGCTTCCGGTGATGCCAAGTTGCCGCAGATCACAGCGCGACATTTGTATCTCCCTCCAGCCTTGATCACACAGACCAATTTCCCCGGCACCAATTCGGCTTCAGGGTCAATCTCGGACCTTTTGACTGGTCGGATAGCTTTTGTTTCTGCAGTCAAGGATTTGTACTCGGCGAGCAT